AGAGTGCAGACTCCCACCTGGTATTCTGGGACGGCCTTTTCCTTTGACCTGGTGGAGATGACCTGGCAGGGATCGGACCGTGCATGCCCCCTGCCAAGTGTCCACTGCCTGGAAGTGGGTGTGAGTAGAGATTGTTCAAGCATCCCCCCGACCCCTACTCCAGTGTGGGTGCCCCAGGGAGCAGCAGCTGGGCTACAGAGCTTCAAATTGAATGAATGAATGAATCAATGAGGGCCTCTGTCCAGGGGGTACAAGGGTACAGTGGGTAGGGTGCTTACCTTGCATGCAGCCGACCTGGCTTGGTCCCTGAGACCCCACATGATCCCCTGAACACTGCTGGGTGTGGACCAAACCCTACTCTTCCCTCAAAATCTCAACTTTCCTCAGGATCTCAACTTTGGGGGAACTGGAATTAGTATCTGGGGCTCTGCCAAGTGTAGGGGCCTAGCCCGTCTCAGCGCTCCACTGAAAAGCTTCTTCCAGTCCTCCACAGTGGGGAAATGCGCGGATTGAATACTTTGGAAGTGCCATAGGAAGGCAGGCGTCTCTGGAGTGTGTGCCTGAGGGAAATCCCCAGCTGCTCTTGGCCATTTCTGGGCCCATTGCTCGGGCAATCCAGTGTAAGTTTCACCACTAGTTACAGTTATTTGGTGAGTATTTTTGTACTTAGAATTACACCCAGTAGTGCTCTAGGTCTATCCATGGGCTTTACCACTCGGGTCCCTCCCAACAGTGCTCAGGAGACCATGTGCTGAAAATCAACCTGGGCTCTGCTGTCAAGTATGTGCTTCCAACCCTTTGAACTCCTTGGCCCTGTAGGTTGTTTATTTGTTTGTGTGTTTAAGCCAATGTTCCAACTTAACAGTTTTCAGCAAAAACTATCAAAAGACAGTTGCCTGGCTTGTGTCGTTATTGCATTGGATCTCTCAGGAAAAGTTACATCAGGGCCTTGGAATTCACCCAGGCAGTTGACTCCATGGACTAATGCTATTATTGGGCTGAGGCTGCTGTATGTGGTCCTGTACAGCTCAATGCCAAGTTCCTGAGAATGTTTTAGCAGGCACAAAACCCATGAAATTTAAGTTCAGTGGGCAAGGTCAACACCTTTGTATACCAGACTCTGCTTCAATCCCTGGTACCCACATATGGTTCCCCAAGCAGCAGTGATTCCTGAACACAGACGAGTAGGGCCTGAAAATGAGGGGTGGTGGCGGGGAGAACAATCTTCCAAACAGGAGAGACATGTCTTAATCAACATTTCTCATTTAATATTTCTCATTTCTCTAACTTGAAGTGTAAGGTGGATTCAGGCTTGCTCTTCATGCCCATGTTCTCCCTTGAAGAGTCCTGCTTGCTTGTCTGTTTCTTTCCTTGTTTTGTTTTTTTTTTTCCCCACTATGGAGAAGCCCAGCCCCCCTGTCACTGCTGATGGCTTACTCCTGACTCTGGATTCAGGAGTTACTCCTAGTGGGCTCACAGGACCGTATGGAATGCCTAAGATTAAACCTGGGTGGGCAAAGCAAATGTCCTACTGATTTACCATCACTCAGCCCCTCCCTTAATATCTAAGTAAACTTCCATTCAGTAAAAACTATTGCTTCACTCCGCACCCCCCAAAAAATAGTGGGTTCATGTTTAATGGGAAGGGAGCACGAAAAGAAATTGTGATGTTCTGGTCTAGAGAGATACTACAGTGGGTATGTTTCCCTTACACACAGCCTACCAGGTTCAATCCCCACTACCCCATAAGGTCCAAGAGTCCACCAGGTTAATTCCTGAGCACCACTGGGTGTGGCCCAAAAAACAAGAACAAAAGTGACTTGGTGGGGTTAAGGTTGGAGAGAGGGGACTGGAGAGCCAGTGGGTAGGGCCATCACTTGAAAGAGGCCAAATCAGGAGTGATCCTTGACCACAGCTAGGGTACCCATCCCCCAACCCTCATCCCAAAAAAAGAAAATATTGAAAAGGGAGTCCCTAGTGCATAGCCCACAAGACTTCTATGTGCCTCCAGCAGAGAGCTGGTGATCCTGCAGCACCTTTCTCTGTGAAACCAGTGGGCTTGAAGGGAAGAAATGCTGGTTCCCATTTTTTTTGGGGGGGGGGGCGGGGGAGCGAATCACACCCAGCAATGCACAGGGCTTACTCCTGGCTCTGCACTCAGGAATTACTCCTGGCAGTGCTTGGGGGACTATATGGGATGCTGGGAATCGAATCCGGACTGGCCGTATGCAAGGCAAACAAACGCCCTACCCACTGTGCTATCGCTCCAGCCCCAGGTTCCCATTTCTCTTCTGGGCTAGCTTCATGCAGCCTCTGCTGCCTGCTCAGCAAGCATCTCAGACCATCTGCGCTTGGTCAGGATCGACTCAGCGCAGCAGAGGGGAGCCTTGTGGCCTCTTTGGGAGGTGCAGCCTGGCTGGCATTCTGTGTTCCCTGGAGCAGGCAGAGCTTAGCCCTCATAATGAGCTTTTAGCATTTCCTGAGTGAGTCCGGGGTGGCACGCTGTCTAGAACAGAAACAGGCCCGAACAAGTTGAAGACCTCCCCCTCTCCAGTCACCAGCATTCAGAGAAGCGGAGTCCCTTGCACATGGCCACCATAGCAATTACATTGTTTCATCACTGCATTCTGGAGTTCTGAATCAGCCAGCATTCCTGTCCTGTCTTTACGCTGGTGCCCACTTTCTCTTCCCCTTGTACTCACCACACACAGGTCCTAATGCCTCAGAATGTGGCCACTGGCCTTGGTCCTTTCTGCCCAAGGAGCAACTCTAACCCTTGGCCAGCCATTCTCTCTTACTTCTCTTCCCTGTCATGCTTAGTCCAGTAAAGTGGGTTTTCTTTTCTTTTTTCTTTTTTTTTTGGGGGGGAGGCACTTTTTGGGTCACACCCGGTGATTACTCCTGGCTCTGCACTCAGATTTTACTCCTGGTGGTGCTCTGGGAACCATATGGGATGCCAGGGATCAAACCCAGGTCACCTGCTTGCAAGGAAACAAACGTCCTACCTGCTGTGCTTTCACTCCGGCCTTGAAGTAGATTTTCTATCACCTCTGCTAGAGTCCTAGGGTGCCACGGCGTGTCCATTGTTGCAAGCACTTAATATTTAACCCTACAGTGATACTTGCATTGCTCCAGTTTACAAAACAGGCTCTGAGGCCAGTGCAAAGTACAGTGGGTAGGATGCTTGCCTTGCATGCGACCAATCCAGGTTCAATCCCCAGCATCCCATATGGTCCCCCGGGCACTGTCAGAATTAATTCCTGAGTGCAGAGCCAGGAATAACCGCTGAGCATCTCTAGATTGTGGGGGTTGGGGGGGAACAGGCTCTGGAAGTCCAGAAAGGTTCAGTAATTCATTCAGTGCCAAACAACTGGTAGTTGGAATCAGGACTAGGCAGTCTGCCTTTAGAATTGGGGGTGGTGGGTTCGACTCCCAGCGTCCCATATGGTCCCTTGAACACCACCAGGAGTAATTCCTGAGTGCAGAGCCAGGAGTGCATCGCCAGGTGTGACCCAAAAAGCAAAAAAAAAAGAATTGGAGGTGGAGGGGTAGTTTTGGGGCCATATCCAGTTTATTCAGATACCCAGACACCCATATACCCAGAGGCAGGCTCTGTGCTCAGGGATCACTCCTGACAGGACTGGGGGTGCCACATGCAGTGCCAGGGATCAAATCTGGATCAACTACATGCAAGGCAGGTATCTACCCCCTGTACTATCTCTATGGCCCCCGGAACCTTCCTCGACCACTTAGCCCTACTGAGTATCTGAGCGGTAGCACCGTAGCACTATAGCACTGTCCTCCCGTTGTTCATCGATTTGCTCAAGCAGGCACCAGTAACGTCTCCATTGTGAAAGTTGTTGTTACTGTTTTTGGCATATCAAATATGTCATGGGTAGCTTGCCAGGCTCTGCTGTGCGGACGGGATGCTCGGTAGCTTGCCGGGCTCTCCGACAGGGATGGAGGAGTTGAACCCGAGTCGGCAGCGTGCAAGGCAAACGCCCTACACGCTGTGCCATCACTCCAACCCCATCTGAGCAGTAAGGTCTTAAAACCATTTTATGGATTCTGTGTAGTCTCTCATCCTGCCACTCTCCATTCCGTCCAGTGGCAGCAGAACAACCTCTTGTCTGTTTGCAGGAAACTTCCAGCAGCTTCTCAGCTGACTCCTGGGTTCTGTTCTATTGAGCTTCTATTTTCTACTTGGTTCCAGCCTTTGGTAGATCTCCGCAAATCAGAGCTACTCTCTCTACCCCATAATTCCTGGCACCCCAAACTCCAGGTGTGAGAATGTGAACAACCAAGATCTCCGTGTACTTGGCCTCAGCTTATGAACTGACAATTCACCAGGACCCCAAGTCTTGGAAATTCAGGCCTTTAGCGGAAGGCTGCTCTGAGGATCCTGAATAGGTCTGAACACTGAAAAGTGAAAACTGTGTGTGTCTCAAAAAGCCTTGCTTATCCAGTTTTTCCCGTTTCAAAAGTTCTGGATCCCCAAGACTAGATTCTCCAGGTTGGGAGATACTGCACACTCCGGTCCAGCTGTTCGGATTCTTCTCACCTCTCAGAGTTTTTGGAGGGGACAACCAGGGTGGGCCCAGGGATTTCCCGAGTGGGTAGCGCCCCCTGGTGTTCATAGTTGGGACTTTGTTGCAGGGTGGAAGTAGGAAGCCGGGAAAACCCCCACCCCCGGGGGTCGCAACATCCAATGACCCTGAATCACATCGGCTCCTTCCCCCATGTCTGCTCTGACAGAGCCCGAGGGATGGAGCAACGGGCAGCTCTGCTCCCCTTTTTCCTCCCTGCTCCCCAGGCCACATCTCCAGTCCCCACAGAAGCAGCGAGGAGGTGGGCGGGAGTGGGGGTGCAACCTGGCAGGAAGCGGCGTACCTTCCGTTGCAGGAGGAGCAGGTGGTAGCCCGTGCGGCCCGGGCCCTGCTTCCTGTGCACGCCCGCCCGCCGCCACTGCTCTGCCTCGGAGCTGCTGGGGCCTCCCCAGTCAGCAGCCAGGCCCCATGGCCCAGACCTCCCAGGCCCCCTATGGCATCTCCTGCGAGTTGCGAGGTAAGTGCTGGTCCTTTTGCCTCCTGAGGCCGTTGGAGGGTTTCTCTCCACCTGCTGGGTTTGGTACCTCCACATCCACTCTGCTCCTTCCTCGCTGGTGAGGGGAGTTGAGGCCCGTGCCTGGCTCAGGGTCAGCCCCAGCCGTCCTCTGGGAGGCCCTGGAGTCGCCCAGCAGGCTGCCCTTCCACAGGCGAGATCGCCAGGTTCCTGTGGCCCAAGGAGGCAGAGCTGCTGCTGCAGACCTGGTTGCCGGAGCGCCAGGCCACCGAGCCGGGCCATGTCCTGGTGCGTGGGGGGTGGAGGCGGGAGGGTTGGGTGTGGGCAGCAGGGCCCCTGGGCCTGCGCAGGGGCCAAACCTGTGTCCCCGCAGGCACTGCTACGCTGGAGAGCCTACCTGCTCCACACCTGCCTGCCCCTGAGGGTGAGTCGACTCCAGGCCCCCCCAGCGCCTTGCACAAGGGGCCCAGGCCTGTGGGCACTGCCCTTCGAGCAGTCTGGGGCTCCAGAGGGTGGGCTGGGGCCAGGCTGACCCCAGCTCCCCGCAGGTGGACTGCACATTCAGCTACCTGGAGGTCCAGGCCATGGCCCTACAGGAGATGCCCCCACAGGTGAGTCCCCGATGTCCCTGCCAGCCCACAGCCTGGTCTCCACCTCCCTCCTGTCTGTCCCCCTACCTGTGGCCCAGCCCGGCATGCCCTCCCCCAGATCACCTTTGAGCTGGAGTCCCTGCCCGAGCTGGTCCTGGAGTTTGCTGGCGTCGCCGCCCTGGAGCAACTGGCACAGCACATCGCCATGGCCATCAAGAGGGTCTTTCCTCGCTCCACCCTCGGGTAAGGCCTGGCAGTGGCCGGATGGCAAGGAGGGGGTGCCCTGGCAGCCTCCTTGCTCAGGGGCTGCAAATCCCTGCCCCCTTCTCACCTCCCTAGGAAGCTGTTCCGGGCGCCCACAGCCCCTACCTTGCTGGCTCGCCTGGAGAGAAGCACCCATCCCCCAGAGGCCCTGGCACCCAGCAGGCCCTGTGGTAAGGGGCTTCCGGGGAACCCCCTCCCACAAACCAACACCCCTGGACTTGAAAGGGAGGATCTCCCATGCTAAACAGACCCACGTGAGGGGTTGGAATGATAGTGCAGTGAGTAGGGCTTCGCATCCCCTATGGTTCCTCAAGCACCGCCAGGAGTAATTCCTGAGCACAGAGCCAGGAGTAACCCCTGAGCATCGCTGGGTGTGGCCTAACCCCCCCAAAAAAAACAAAAACAAAACAGGCCACCTAAGGCCTAAGTTCCTCCCAGCTTAGCTGTGTCGATCTTCCTCCATCTCTGAGCTCTTTTTTGTGGCTCAGGGGCCACACCTGGTGGTGTTCAGGTGCTACTCCCAACTCAGTGCTCGGAGGTCACTCCTGGCATTGCAGGACGTGGAACCCAGGCTCCACCCTTCTGGCCATCTCTGATCTTTGTCTCTCCCTTCTCCCCGCCCTCTCGCACCCTGGCACTGGCCCAGGCGGCTTCGTGGAGACGTACGAGGCTTTGTGTGACTACAACGGCTTCCCTTTCCGCGAGGAGATTCAGTGGGTGAGGGCAGGGCCCTCCTCGGGGGGTCAAAGCAGGTGCCTCCCTTGAGACAGCCCAGGGTCAGCCGGAGACACTTTCTCCCACTCAGGACGTGGACACCGTGTACCACCGGCAGGGCTGCCGCCACTTCAACCTGGGAGACCTCAGCCACCTGGGCAATCGGTGTGTGCCGTCGGCCTGGGAAGGGGGCAGCACCCCGGGTCTGGGCGCTGAGCGGGGGTCCTGAGCTCTGTGCTTGCGTCCCCCACCCCCACCCCAGGGACCTGGCCTTGAGTGTGGCGGCCCTGTCCTACAACCTGTGGTTCCGGGGCCTCTCCTGTGTGGACATGAAGCTGGTGAGAGCAGGGCGGGTAGGCAGGCCCGAGGCGGCAGGGTTTGGGTGCAGCCCCTGACTTCCTGCCGTTCGCAGAGCCTCGAGGTGTCAGAGCAGATTCTGCACGTGATGAGCCAGTCGTGGCACCTGGAGGAGCTTGTGCTGGAGGCCTGTGGGCTGCGGGGGTAGGAGCCGGGCAGGACTGGGGCCGGGGGAACCACAAGGCTGGGGGGGGGGCAGAGTCACCCCTGGCATTTGGTCCTCCCAGGGACTTTGTCCGGCGACTGGCCCAGGCACTGGCAGGACACGCGTGCTCAGGGCTGCGGGAGCTCAGCCTGGCCGGGAACCTGCTGGATGACAGAGGTAAGCCTGCCTGGGGACCCCCACCCCCACCAGGGGCTGGAATTCAGAATGGGGCAGGCTCAGCCCGGGGTCCCCTCGTCCCAGGCATCTCAGAGCTCAGCCGACACCTGGAGCTCCGGCCCGGAGCCCTGAGAAGACTCAGCCTGGCACAGACGGGGCTGGGCCCCCGAGGTGAGCAGGTGGGGGAAGGGGGGATGCAGGACTGGGATGGGTATAGACAGGTTGGCTCAAAGGCTGTCCCCACCCGTGTTCCCAGGAATGCGGGCTCTGGGCCAGGCGCTGGTTTCCAACGCTGCCTTCGACTCTGCCCTGACCCACTTGGACCTTTCCGGGAACCCGGGGGCACTGGGGGCCTCAGAGGACAATGGGGTGAGTGGCTGCCCAAGGGACAAAGGCTGGAAACCCCTCAGGGTGTCAGGCTCTCTCCCTCCCATACACCCCCCCTTCTCCGCCAGGGCCTCTACAGTTTCCTGAGCCGCCAGAATGTTGTGTCAGTGCTGAACCTCGCAGGCACCGACGCCGCCCTGGACACGGTGAGGGGTGTTAGGGGCGGGGCAGAAAAGACTCGGGGCGCGCAGGGGGGCGCTGGGAGAAGCGGAGGTTGGGGGTCTGGGCCGGTGGAACCCATTGCCTCCTCCGCAGCTCTTCGCCGCGCTGGCCCGCGGCTGCTGCTCCAGCCTCACACACCTCGACGCCTCCAGGAATGTCTTCTCCCGCACGTAAGGGGTCGGGGGGCGCGAGGGAGAGCACTGGGAGGCTGCTGCGGAGCCCCTGGCCCACCGCTCTGCGCCCCCCATAGGAAGACTGGAGCCGCCTCTGCGCTGCAGCGCTTCCTGGGTCGCGCGGGGTCGCTGCGCCACCTGGACCTGGCGGCCTGCAAGCTGCCGCCCGACGCGCTCAGGTCAGCGCCCTCGCCGCCCCGTCGCAGCCCAGCCCCGCGCCCCTTCACCCGCTCCCCCTGATCCCGCCGCCGCCGTGACCTCTCCCTCCAGAGCCCTCTTGGAAGGCCTCGCGCTCAACACCTACCTGAGCGACCTGCACCTGGACCTCAGCGCCTGCGAGGTGAGCGCCTGCGGCCCCCGCTGCGCCTCGCGGGAGCCCCCCCGGGGCACCCCCGCGCCCGTGGCCTGAGCCCCGCCCCCCTCCACCTGCAGCTGCGCTCCGCGGGCGCGCAGGTGATCCAAGACCTGGTGTGCGACGCCGGCGCGCTGAGCTCCCTAGATCTGGCTGACAACGGTGAGGACGCCCGCAAACCCCTGGCCCGCCGTGCGTGCAGGGCCGCCCCGGCGCTCCGCGTCCCAAGCCTTGTGAGTGACACGAGCCTCCCCCAGGCTTCGGCTCAGACATGGTGACTTTGGTGCTAGCCATCGGGCGGAGTCGGTCCCTGCGACACGTGGCTCTTGGAAGGAACTTCAACGTCCGGTGCAAGTGAGCCCCGTCCCACTCCCGAGTCTCCCCGACCGCGCCCCACCGTCAGGGTCTCCCCACCACCACCACGCCCCTCCTACAGGGAGACCCTGGACGACGTCCTGCACCGGATTGTTCAGCTCATGCAGGATGACGACTGTGTGAGTGCTCGAGACGATGCTACACCCCCCGGCAGCGCCAAGACTCCCACTTTAGAAGATCTGCCCTTTGTGGTTCAACCTGGCTTTCTCTCAACCCCAGCCTCTGCAGTCTCTGTCGGTGGCCGAGTCGCGGTTGAAGCTGGGCGCCAGCGTCTTGCTCCAGGCCCTGGGCACCAATCCCAACCTGCAGGCGCTGGATATCAGCGGCAACGCTATGGGGGACGCGGGCGCCAAGATGCTGGCCAAGGCGCTCCGGGTCAACACCAGGCTCCGGTGGGCGGGGTCAGGGGCGGGGCCCGGGCTAGCGGGGGCGTGTCCAGGGCGGGGCAAACAGAAAAGATTTGAAGGGTGCCGCTAATAGACCTGGACAACGGGCGGGGCGCCCTTGCTGAGCTCCGCCCCCGACTGAAGCCCCGCCTGGCCCAGGTCTGTAGTCTGGGACCGGAACCACACGACTGCACTGGGCCTGCTGGATGTAGCGCAGGCGCTGGAGCAGAACCGGAGCCTAAAGACCATGCCGCTGCCGCTGAGTGACGTCGCCCAGGCGCAGCGCAGCCGCCCGGAACTGACAGCACGTGCGGTGCATCAGGTCAGGCTCCTCTCCGCCAGACCTGGGCTGGGCTGTATCATTCCCTCGCCAGACTCCACTTGTCCATATCCACCATCCCCAGATCCAAGCCTGTCTCTTGAGGAACAGCCGCGCCGACCACGCTGCTTCTGACTGTTCCTCCCGCCCAAAGCCACTGGGTCTGCAGTCGGGCCCCTCTGAGCAGGTCAGTGTCTCCTCCATCGGTCTGGAGAACGTACGGAAGGTCAGGACGGAGGAGAGCCGTAGCGCCTGGGATGCCCCATGAGTCCAAGGGTCTGACTTTCTGGGGACCAGAGTGCCTGAATCCTGCTATTAGATGAATCCCCGGCTTGGTCTGGAGAGAAGCCAACCCGTACAGAAATAACTCCCCAAATAACAGAACTGGCTGCCTGTATTTTATTTATTTTTGTGAAGCAAGAAAGTTTTTTACTGAAACTTATTTAGAAAGAGATAAGGGGAGAGAACACAGGCTTCTCTAGAATGGAAATAAACATGGGAGATACGTTCAAGGAAATAACAACTTGAAGAGCAAGCCTGGCTGCTTTTAGAAAATGCACTGTAGCACTGTTCTCCGATTGTTTATCAATTTGCTCGAGCGGGCACCAGTAACATCTCCATTGTGAGACTTACTGTTACTGTTTTTGGCATATTGAATATGCCACAGGGAGTTTGCCAGGCTCTGCTGTGTGGGCAGGATACTCTTGATAGCTTGCTGGGCTCTACGAGAGGGATGGAAGGATTGAACCTGGGTCGGCCGTGTGCAAGGCAAATGCCCTACCCGCTGTGCTATCACTCCAGCCTGCCTTTAGAAAATAAATTAATTAATTAAAAGGCTGGAGCCATAGTACAACGAGTAGGGTGCTTGCTTGCCATGCAGGCGGCCGACCCAGGTTCAATCTCCAGTATTCCATATGGTCCCCTGACCACCACCAGGTGTGACCGCTGAGAGCCAGGAGTTCAGTATTGCCAGGTGTGGCCCCAAAACCAAATTTATATATATAATTTAAAATAAATATATATTTGGTTATTTATATAATAAATATATATTTATAACATTATTTAATATAAAATAAACATTTCTGTTAGAGGCAGAGATTGGGTCACACTTGTTCTTTGCTCAGGAGTGACCCCTGGTCATACTCAGGGGACCATATTCCTAGGGGCTAGGAATTTGAATCAGGATCACAGCCAGTATGGCTGCTTGCAAGACAAGTGACTTACCTGCTAAACCTCTCCAGCCCTTCTAAATGCTTTTTTGAAAGCCTTTTAACAGAATTTTCCGTTAAAGAAGGGAAGTATTTTAAAGTCTTCCCTTCCATTGTAACCCTCTCTGTCATTTCCATTCACGGGCTCTCTTCCCTCTCTATTCACCTGCCCGGTCAGCCCCAGAAACTCTCCCCCACCCCCATCCCGGCTTACAAAGCATGGCCTTATGTGCTGTACTCGCCTCCCCACTCACAAATCCCACCTTCCCCCCCCCCCCAAGCATCAGCATGCAGATAGCTCAACCCAAACCTTCTGCAGGACCTACCCTCTCTCCACTTCTTCATGTAGCCTCATCCCCTCCCACCAGCTCCCCTGAAGCCCACTCTCACTGGTGTCCATTGGGACAGGGCTCTCCTCGCCGCATAGGCCGACCCCCACCTCCTTAGTCTTGCCTCTGGAGCAAATCTCAAACACACCAATCCTGGGATGCAATGGCCTGTCATCTGTTGCTCCTCCTTTCTCCTCACTTATTTGCTTATTTGTCTAGTTGGGTGGTGCTGGGACTGAGTTTCTAAAACACAACAAATAGCTCTTTTCTCTATTCTGGACATATGGAGTGTGTATGTGTGTGCGCAGAAGAGCTCCCTGGTGGGACAGTGTCAGCTTCCTGATCAGACCTAATCTGACAGAAACCCTGGGGGAGGCCGTCGGGGCTGGAGCACCAGGCAGGATCAGGCCTGGACTGATTCCTGATGCCCCCCAGGAAGTGAATGAACTGTGTCAGTCAGTGCAGGAGCACGTGGAGCTGCTGGGCTGCCGGGCCGGGCCACAGGGTAGAGCCGCCGTGCACCAGGCAGAGGATGCCATCCAGAATGCCAACTTCTCTCTCAGTGTGAGCTTCCCCTCCCCTCCCACCACACGACCTCTTCTGCTCTCAGCCAGGCGTCTACTTGAGACTCCGTTTTTTTCCTTGGCCTCCAGATCCTCCCTAGTCTCTTTTGGGGGAGAGGCAGGGGCCACATCCCAGCAGTGCTCAGGGCTTGCTCCTGGCTCTGGACTCCTTACCATGTGGGGACCATATGGGATGCCAGGGGTTGAATCTGGGTCTGCTGTGTGCATATCCTCCCTGCTGTTCTCTCTCTCTCTCTCTCTCTCTCTCTCTCTCTCTCTCTCTGGCCCAGATTCTTCCTATTCTATATGAGGCTGGGAGCTCCCTAAGCCACCAGTGGCAGCTTCGGGAGAAGTTGGAGAGTCTTCTGGAACAGGTGGGCGAGGTCTGCCGCCATGACATTCAGGTGAGATGGTACCTTTGCCCCACCTTGTGATGTGTCCTGAATCAGAGTTCTGAGTGACCAGGATCTTAAGCCAATCACCTAAACCCTAACCCCCCCTCCGCCGCCCGCCCCCATACAGACCTGCTGCTTTCTTCCTTTTGTTCAGGACTTCACCCAGGTCACACTGGACACAACCAAGAGCCTCTGCCCACAGATGCTGCACGGGTCCAGGTGGAGGGAGCAGCTAGAGGAAGTCCTGGTGGGCTCCAGGGGTCTTCCTGAGCTGCTCCCAGAGCACCTTCTGCAGGATGCCTTCAGCAGGCTCAGGTAGGCCGGAGGGGGCTGGGCTGAGCTGAGCAGTGCTAGCCTGAGACAGCAGCCCCTAAGCCCACCTTCTTCTACCCTAGGGACATGCGGCTCTCAGTCACAGGTGCCTTGGCCAAGAGCATCATGGCGCAAGCCCTGGAGGGACTGAGCGCAGCCAGAGACCGGCTGGTAAGGAGACCATGTGCTTATATGTGTGCACATATGCCTCATGTTCGCATACACACACACACACACACCACAGAGTCATCAGGCCATTGCCTGGCAGGGGTTCTATAGTGTTCTCTGGGATCATGTACCCCCAGGGGTCTTTGGGGGTTTCCAGAGCACCGGGGGACTATGGCTGAGGCGCTATTTGGTGTTGCAGGTGGAAAGTCTGGCTGAGCAGGCAACAGGGGCAGCAACCCCTGATCTGCTGAGTGGAAGTGAGCACAGCCCCCTGGGGCCGGGGGAACTGGAGGGTCTTTTCTTCCCTGAGGAGAAGTGGGAGGACGATGAGGAGCCCCAGGTAGGTGCTTGCAGCCCTCCGGGCGCCCGGGCCCCATCCTCCCACCTTGCTCTGAGCAGGGCAGGCGCCAAATTGCCCTGCCCCGGCTGAGTTGGCGCCTGCCCCACCAGGATGAGCTCCCTCCACCGCGATGGCGAGGGTCCAGCCACTGTCCTCACTTGGTCTCCTCCGTTCACAGTAAGTCAGGCGTGGGAGCGTCCCCTGGGGGCTGAAGGTCTGTTGGGGACCTGGACCCTTGGGCACACGTTCAGCTCCTGCCAGGAATCTCCTGACCTTGGCTGACCCGGCTGGAGCCGGCCACTCTGCAGGGCCGGGGCGCCCTGGTCATGGAGCAGCTGGTCACGGAGCCGCGGACCGAGCGGCGCGGGGCGGGGCCGCGCCTCCCCCCAGGACGCGCGTGCTTGGCGGCGGTGCGGGGCCGCGCTCGCGGGGCCGCGCTCAGCACCACGGACAGCGGCGGCGGGGGAGGGGCAGTGGGGGGCGGGCGGTGTCGCTGGGCCCCTCCCCGCGCCCTGGGCGGGTCCACCGCGCCGAGCGCCGCCGCCTCCCCCGGCTCGGCTCTCTTGTGGTGCTCACCCCTCAGGTGCCGGCGAGGAAGCGGAGCCTGAGCCCAAGCTGGCGGCTCCCGGGGAAGATGCGGAGCCGCAGGCGGGGCCGTCGGCGCGCGGCTCTCCCAGCCCCGCCGCCCCCGGGCTCCCGGCCGGCCCGCTGCCTCGCATGGACCTACCGCCCGCCGGCCAACCCCTGCGCCATCCGACCCGGGCCCGGCCGCGGCCGCGCCGCCAGCACCACCACCGCCCGCCGCCGGGGGGCCCCCAGGTGAGCGCTCCCCCTGCCCGCCCCGGGCTGGCCGAATTGGGGGTCGCGGGTGGCTCCGACGCCGCTCAGGGCCGTGGTGGACAAGGATCCGGATTGTGGGGGCGCAAGGCCACCTGGTCATATGGCTGTAACTGCATCCGGCTTCTTCCTGGCCTGTCTCCAGCCCGAGCCATGTCCACTGGGGTCGTGAGTGTGCAGGCTTTCCACGGCGGGTGCGTGTGTTTGGGGGGGGGGGGGGAGAAAGGGGCACCTGGTTGCAAGGCTGGATGCGCCAGAAGGGGTTCGGACTTAGCATCCCTCCCCCGGGGTTCCTGAGACACGCTGAGCCCCCCAGGATGCGGGGAAAATCCCGGCCCTGCCGCGGGTTGCGCGTTAATGTGCGGGGAGGTCTGTGGGGATTGGGTGCCACGGGGGGGGGGGGGGGGCAGTGGACAGTGGGTGTAAGAGACCAAGGAGCCCGCTTGAGGCCCCCCTCCAGAGGGTCTGACGCAGCAGCGGGTGCTGCTAAGCCGGCAGCAGGCCTGGAGGGGTGGGGGTGGGGGGGTACTGCAGGGAACTGTTTGGAGCCGGGAGGGTGGCAAGTGGCATGTGGGAACGGGTGACCCTGTGCAGTGGATTCTGGTGTGCTGGTGGCCAAAGTGCCGGGTGTGTAGACTGCTCAATGGGACAAGCGCGAGTGTGGGCTGGGTGTGTTTGTATAGGATGTAGGGGTGCAGGGGGTATCTGAAATTACTTCTGCCCACCACCTGGGCAGTGGGTATGAAATCTTTTTAGCTGCCCCTAGGATTGCCCTCTCCCCAAGCCCAGCTTCCGGTCAGAGAGGAAGTCAGATGGTACTTGGCCCTGATCCCCAGCCCCTTGGTGTCCTCCAGGTGCCCCCAGCCCTGCCGCAGGAAGGGAATGGGCTCAGTGCCCGTGTGGATGAGGGTGTGGAAGAATTCTTCTCCAAAAGGTTGATCCAGCAGGTTCACCTGTAAGTGAGAGGCAGCTGGAAGGGTGGAAGGGTGGGGTGCTGTGGGTGTTCCCTCTCACTGCTGGCTGTCCCCGCAGCTGGGCGCCTGAGGAAGACGCCGCCACTGAGGGGGGTACCACCGCTGTGCCACGTACACTGAGAAAGAAGCTGGGCACCCTCTTTGCCTTCAAGAAGCCTCGTTCCACACGGGGACCACGGCCCGATCTAGAGACCAGCCCTGGGGCAGTTCCCCGAGCCCGGAAAAGCACACTCGGAGACCTGCTGAGGCCACCAGCCCGCCCTGGCCGGGGTGAGGAGCCTGGCGGGGCCGAGGGGGGTGCCAGCAGTCCCGACCCTGCTCGCAGGAGCCGGCCTCGCTACACGCGCGAGAGCAAGGCCTACTCCATGATTCTGCTGCCAGCCGAGGAGGAAGAGGCGGTGCTGGGGGCCAGACCCGACAAGGTGAGGCCTGACAGGAGTGTGGGCTGCTGGGACCCAGAGGCCTGGGGCCCACTCTCCACTCTGGCATTTGTCCCCAGCGACGGCCCCTGGAACGGGGAGAGACAGAGGTGGCCCCGTCCTTTGAACAGCGGGTACAAGTGATGCTGCAACGGATTGGCGTTAGCCGAAGCAGCGGGAGTACCGAAGGCAAGAGGAAGCAAGTAAGTTGGAAGGGACACAGTGTTAAGTGAGGGGGCAGGTGACATGTGGCAGTCTGTGGTGACATATGTGACCAGGAGCAGACTCATGACACAGAAGGTCTGTCAGTTCCACCCCCTCCTCTCCCAAACAGGCTCCAGCTTCAACCCTTCTTCCCTCATGGACTGGCCCTGGTCTCTCTGTAGACTTGGGGAGCCCTTTCTCTGCAGCTCTAAAGGAAATCTGCAGCCTACTGACACTGTTCAGTCACTGTCACACTCCAGGCCCTGTGGGGTCTCCTGGGTGCCCCTGTCTTCTCAGGGCCTCCATCCAGGTTCCTGTTAGGACGCCATCCTAACCCACCTCAGCCTCACCACCCCAGAGTACTCCGCTGGGCTCAACCTCTGCACGTCGGTCCCCTGATAATGTTCTTATCGGTCCCTAGTGCGAACCGTAGTCCTGTGTCCCATCCTCTTCGAAACACACATGCAGCAAGTCTCAGCCTGGGCTGGGAACCCAAAGTGTGGAAAGTGACTCACAGAAGGAAGGAATGACATTCTGCCATATCTCTGCATTCACACGGGCATTTGTGGTCATACCTCCATCCCAGACTTAGTTACGATTGAGCTGGTCACGTTTGTGACCACCCTTAGTGGGCACTTTACGGCATATAACAAGAATAAGATATAGGAACAGAATAAATATGGCTACAGAGATGACTCAAAGAGCTGGGTGTATGCAGGAAGCCTAGGTTTGATTCCTGGCATTGCATGGTTCCCTGAACACTGCTGGTAGTGATGCCTCGGTACTGCCAGGCGTAGCCCAAAATCTAAAAAGCCAAGGATGATGACCAAAAAGACAAGGCTGGGGTGAGGGCTGGGGAGGACTGGCACTTGACTGCTCTGTTTCCTGCAGAGCAAAGACGGAGAGATCAAGAAGGCTGGCTCAGACGGTGAGTGGGGCTCTGGGCTAGGGCTGTGGTATCTGGGGCTTGGGGGGTGTCCTGAGTTCCCCAGGCAGCACGCTCCTGGGGAAGGTGGGGAATGGCCAGGTCAATCCTCTCCTCATCCCAGGGGTCTGGTGCCTGAGCCCTCAGCCTTGCCTTCCAGGTGATATCATGGACAGTTCAACCGATACCCCTCCCATCTCCATCAAATCCCGCACCCACTCTGTGTCTGCAGGTGAGTGGGGCCCATTGCGTATTGGGGGCATGCAGAGAGGAGCAGGAAGGGGCCAGAACCCTGGTCTGGCCTAGGGCTTGGCTGACACCCTTCTCCTTGCAGACCCCTCGTGCAGGCCCGGGCCAGGGGGCCAGGGGCCTGAGTCCACCACCTGGAAGACCCTGGGGCAGCAGCTGAATGCAGAGCTCAGGGGTCGTGGCTGGGGCCAACAGGATGGTCCTGGCCCCCCTTCTCCTTGCCCCAGCCCCCGAAGAACCAGTCCTTCCCCAGACAGCCTGGGACTCCCAGAGGATCCTTGCCTGGGTCCCAGAAACGAAGGTAGGCAGGCACCTTGGCCTGTATTTCAGTAGTGGACTCGGGGACGGCCTTCCTACTGAAAATTCAGTTTCCAGGGGGCCGCAGGTGGGAGTGGGGCTGCTGGAACTGTATTCTGATACCATGGCTTCCCCCAGATGGCCACCTGAGGCCGCGGCCGCTGTCGGCAGGGCGGCGAGCAGTGTCTGTGCATGAGGATCAGCTGCAGGCCCCTGTTGGTGAGGGATTTCTTCTCCGTGGATTCTGGGTGCGGGAGATGCATGAGGGTGGGCTCTGGCCTTTGAAGTGGACTCTCAGCAGTCTGAGGGGAAGAAATGGGGGGACCAGAAAGGCAGGAGCAAGTGTGCTTCCTGAAGAGTGATGTGGGGGCGGGGTGCGGGGGAGCACATGTGCACACACCCTGGTGGCGGGAGACAGGCTGGGGACAAGCAAGGCCTTGGCAGCCCAGCCGCATCCTTTCTGTGTCCCTCACAGAACGGCCCCTGCGGCTGCAGCGCTCCCCTGTCCTCAAGCGCCGACCAAGGGTCGAGGCACCCCCCTCTCCAAGCCTAGGTAAGAAGGGGCGGGAGCCAGCTGGAAAGGTGGGAGCAAGGCCCACCCCGGCCAGTCCTGACCCTTCCTTCTGTCCCCATTTCCTCGGCAGGAACTGGCCTTGGAGTTGAGCCTCCGCCCGCACAGTCCACGGAGCCCTCCAGCCCCGAGCGGAGCCCACCCTCCCCAGTCACAGACCAAAGAGGCGGCGCTCCCACCCCCTGAGCCGAGCCTTTCCTGCCGCATGAGATTATTTTATTAAAAAACTCAAAGGAAGTCGCGTGGAGTGCTGTCTGTCCACACACCCCCACGACCCGTCACACCTTGGTTTGCTCGGTCTCCACTCGGGACTCCATCAGAAAGAACAAGGCCCAGGACAGGAACCTGGAAGGAAGCCTGGAGAGAAAGAAGCATGGCTATAGGCCAGTGGGGGGTGGCATGGGGGCGCGAGAGCAGGGCAGCCCGAGGCGCTCACCTCGTGGCCTGGACCTGGGCACAGACGGAGGCGCAGGGAGGCTCATACGTGTACTGGAAAGCAGAACCATCACGGTGCCTCTTTGGAGGGTTCTGAAAGGAACGCGGCATCTGCTGAGAGGCTAGACTGAACCCGCCCAGCCTCCTCTCAGCCTCCCAGCCTGTCCAGTGCCACCCTCCCGCCGTCGGGCAGCCGAGCTCACCCACTCCATGCTGGGCTCCGAGTCTCCCTGGGGGGTTCCTGGCCTTGCAGAGGGTTGAGCGGTCTTGGGGGGCAATCCAAATTCCTTGAAATGCAGGCTAGTTTTCTGGGGCCTGGTCACCCGGGCCAGTTGTGGATTGACCCCCATATGGCTAAGGGGTGACAAACTTGGGGTATTGCTCAAGAGTGGGGAGTTGGTTACACGGCTTGGAGGTGGAGAGCTGGGGGGCAGGGGAGCCGGGGTTGAACATGTGACCGGCCGTGGCTGGGAGCTGCTCTCCTCGGGAGCTGGAGCGGCTGGGGTCACGGCAGGCAGGAGGCTCAGACTGGCACCACTTTCCTCTGTCAGCACGTGGTCAGGTAAGGGCGGGGTTCCTGGGAAGGAGGAGACTTCCTGTGAGCACAGCCCGCTCTGCTCAGGCAGGCTGAAGGGCCATGTCCATCCCTGTCTCCCAAGCTGGGTGGCACAATGCCAGGCTGGGCTGATACCACCTCACCTGAGCGAGTGGCCGATGAAGAGTTTAGGGTCAGAGACAAGTCCTGCAGAGTCAGGTCTGAGGTGGGCAATATGGGGCCCGAGGGTTAGGGAACTTATTATCATGCGGCTGTTGGGGCTCCAGGCATTCATCCTGTGCCCTCTGTGCGGGGTGGGGGACTTTCCAAGTGGCACTCTGCAGGCCTGGGAGCCCCACTGGCCATTTTCAGTCAAACGCACCAGTGATCCCATGTAGGGATGCGCCTCTGCTTGTGCCCTGAAGTACCGGATTCTACCGGGACCACCCTGGCGGTTCTAGGGGGCCTCCAGGCTGCACCTGCTGATGCTCAGGGTAGGGTTCAGACTCATGTGATGTCAGGGTTCACAGACTCATATGAACCCAGGGTTGGCTACATGCAAGGCACACACCCGAACCCCTGTACCCAAGTCATTTTTTCGGCTAAGCAGCAGGACTTGCTGGGGTGGGGAAGGGGTGGTGAGGGCTGGGGCAGGGCGCAGGGCCTCAGGAGGGGCATGAATGCCATCTGTCCAGATCCTTACCCTGCTCTTGGCATGCCCAGTTCTCCTCACCATGTGCCTTCTGCCCCAAGTTCAGCGTGTTCAGGATCTGCTGGTCGTGCTCGGAGATGTGCAGCCGCACACTGGGGACAGTGTACACAGCTTCGCCCTGTGACACGAACTCTGTCTGACCCTTGCCTTGCTCACCCCCCACGCTTCCCAAGGGATGACCCCCACTGACCGCAGTACTGAGGCGCAAGGAAGCCCAGCGGGTGAGGCTGGGCTTGGTGCTGCAGCTGGAGGGCATCAGACAGCTTTCGGCGAGGCGCACTAACGCTCTGCCTTGCTCCTGGTCCTCCTCCACCTCATTCAGAAGCTGGGTCAGGGAAAAGCCTGTGGGCAGGAAGGCAGGGAACAGGGCTTCCATGGGGCTCTGGAGAGGTCACTGCACAGGAAGTTAGGGTCGGTGGTTGTTTCCTGCTCAAGTACCTGAACTGGGGGTGGTAGACTCTGAAAGGTGTTCCCTACAGAAAGAGAAGCGCCACACTGAGAAGCAAGCTTATATCGGCGACCCCTGAACCACCTCTACCCACCGCTCTGCCCGCCCCCCCCCCCCAGTCTCAACAGACCCTAGACTCACTCTAGGCAGTCATAGAGCTTTTTCCGCACTTCCGGGTCCTGGTTACTGGGAAAAGAGGAGGGGGGCAGCCGTCAGGTGTTCAGCTCCCCCCACCACGGCAAGGATTTAGGGAGTGGGTGGGCAGGGGCACATCCTTACCAGCTGAGTACCCATTCCCGGCACTGCGAGTAGGGCAGCAGGCTGAAACGGTTCACCTGGAGGTAGAACTCAGCGGACTGCAAGGACAGGGCAGAGGGGGTCTCCAGTTGCCCTGAAGAGCTAAGCCTGCCGCGGACTAGCCCGCCCTCACTTGGAAGGGGGGGGGGAAGCACCGTGCCGACCCCCACACCGTGTCGACCCCCTACACCGCACCCGCCCTCGCCGTGCCGACCCCCGCTCACCGCATCAGCCGCCCTCACCAAGCTGCTCTCGAAGACGTGGACGCGGACCTCGCAGTCCCGCAGCAGCAGCAACCTGCCTTCGGTGCCGCGGAACCCGAACTCCTTCTCCTCCCTGCGGCGAGCACGACCCTCACGGCCTGGACGGCCGATCTGGGCCGCGCCCCCCCCCCCCGGGCCCGCCCCCTCGGGCTCCGTCGGGCCGCGCGCCTGCTCGCTCGGCCCCTCCCTCACCAGTCTGTGGCTTGCAGGGCCTCCGGCGTCACCAGGCACCGGACACTGTGAAACCCGTCCGACACAAGCAACGAGGCTCCCACGCCGGACGTGTCAGGGGCACTGGACGGGCCGGGGGCGTCGGACTCGGCGTCCTGCTGGACCTGACGGCGGCGACGGGCGTGACTGCCACCGCCCGGGGGTCCCCGGCCCGCGTCGGGCCCCGCCAGGCGACGGGGCACTCACCTCGAGCAGCAGGCCCGCTCGCGGACTCGAGAGTGGTTCAGACTCCAGGATGAACCCTCGAATCCAAGGCTTCAGCACCAGTCTCTTGTCGCTCGCCATCCCAGCCGCGGCCCCCCGGGGCCCCGAGGGCCGGCTTTCCCGCGGTCGCCGCAGCCCCGCCTCCCGTCGGAAGCGGAAGCGCTCTCCGAGTGGGCGGGGCCTGCGCCTGGAGCCCCGCCCCCGCGCGTGCGCACCGGCGCGTCCTGCCCGGGCGCTGCTGCGTGCGGCTGCCGTTGCGGGGCCGGTCGCCGGGCTTCCGTGCCTGACGTGGGCATCTCTCCGAGCCGACCGGCTTTGGAGCCGTTCAGACTTTCGTGACATCGGCCAGGAGGGGGCCGAGGGCTGACCCGGGTCCCGGGAAGGGATCTGCCAACCGAGGGCAGCCCTGGTCGTTAGCACTGAATCACTTGAGCGCGTGTGACCCGCAGGGAGTCATCCGCAACTATTTATCATGACTCAGTTTCCTCACCTTTGTAAAACGCGCAGTTAGTGCGGGCGGTGAAAACTATCCAGACAACACTCAAATGCCACGTCCCTCGCTCTGCCCGCGGATTGGCCGAGCGCTTCCGCCCAGCTCCCAGGACTCGCGGACCGTAGCGTGATGACGTAAGAGTTCGCGGAAGTTTCTCCGCCCCCGCCGGTTTCCTAGGAAACGCGACTCCGCGTTCCACTCGGTCGCGGCCCCCTCTACGTCACGGTCCGGGCGGGGAGGCGGGGCCAGAGCTGCCGCCAGGGGCGGGGCGGCGCGGGCCGGCCGGCCGGGCTGTGCACCTGCGCCTCGGCGGGCCGCCTGGGGCACCGACCCGGCCCGCCCGGCCCCGCCATGGCCAGGCCGCAGAGGACTCCGGCGCGCAGTCCGGACAGCATCGTCGAGGTGAAGAGCAAAGTAAGGGCCCCTTTGGCCCCGGCTCCGGCCTCGGCCCTCGGCGCTTCCGTTCCCTTCTTCTCCCCTGCCTGGCTCCCCGGTCCCCATCACCCCGAATCCCCTCCGCCCACCTCGTCCCGTTCGCCAGTTTCTGCCCTCTTTCCCCATCCATCATCCTTCCGCCCACTGCCGGCCTCGAGGGTGAGTTCCCCTGTTGGCTTGGGTACCGAGGGCGGGGAGAAGACCTTGGACAGCGTCCGTGGTACCGAGGTCTGAGCTCACAGCTGCCGCCGCTCCTGCCGCTCCTGCGGCAGCGCCGTATCCCACCCCTGCCACCCTCGGACCTGTCCTGGGGGCCAAAGGGGCCGCGACCTGTGGGGACAGTGGGGCGCGGGCTGTGTCCTCACTCCATCCCCCTCTCCTCCCCCTGCTTTAGTTTGACGCGGAGTTCCGACGCTTCGCTCTGCCTCGCGCTTCCGTGAACGGCTTCCAAGAGTTCTCCCGGTTGCTGCGTGCAGTGCACCAGATCCCAGGCTTGGACGTGCTGCTTGGTTATACAGACGCTCACGGGGACCTCCTGCCCCTCACCAACGACGACAGCCTGCACCGTGCCCTGGCCAGTGGACCCCCACCGCTGCGCCTGCTGGTGCAGAAGCGGGGTAAGGATGGGGGGCAGGGGAACGTCCGTGGGGCAGGGGGACAGGGCAGGTCGCTAAGGGCCGGTCCGTGGGCAGAGCACTCAGACTTCACTCTGCAGTCCCTGCCCTTGGCCTGACCTCCAAGCCATAGACAATAGCTTCGGTGCCCCTTTCCCCAGGCCTGGGCCAGGTGGGAAAGGGCCCAGGTGGGAGAACAGGAAGCTCTGATCTCGGCACCTCCCTCTCCTACAGCAGAAGCTGATGCCAGCGGCCTGGCCTTTGCCTCCAATTCTCTGCAGCGGCGTAAGAAAGGGCTCCTGCTTCGGCCAGTAGCTCCCCTGCGCACCAGGCCACCCCTACTCATTAGCCTGCCCCAAGATTTCCGCCAGGTTTCTTCTGTCATAGACGTGGACCTACTGCCTGAGACCCACCGCCGGGTTCGACTACACAAGCACGGATCCGACCGCCCTCTGGGCTTCTACATTCGGGATGGGATGAGTGTGCGCGTGGCCCCCCAGGGCCTGGAGCGGGTTCCGGGCATCTTCATTTCCCGCTTGGTCCGAGGGGGCCTGGCTGAGAGCACGGGGCTGCTGGCAGTCAGTGATGAAATTCTTGAGGTCAATGGCATTGAGGTGGCTGGGAAGACCTTGGACCAGGTGACTGACATGATGATAGCCAACAGCCACAACCTCATTGTCACCGTCAAGCCAGCCAACCAGCGCAACAATGTGGTGCGGGGACCCTCCGGGCGTCTGCCAGGACCTCCCCCTGTGGGGCCTGGGCCTGTTGAGCCCGACAGTGATGAGGACAGCAGTGACCTGGTCATTGAGAGCGGCCAGCTTCCCTGTTCCAATGGGCTGTCTCAGGGGTCTTCGTGTTGGGACCTGCGCCCAGGCCGCCTACATCCTGGTGCCCGCAGCTCTCTGCCCTCCCTGGATGATCAGGAGCAGACCCACTCTGGCTGGAGCAGTAGCATGCGAGGTGATGGTAGCGGTTTCAGCCTGTGACAGCGCTCCAGGCTGCTGGGACACGGTAGGAACTTTTCCCAGCGGGTCTTTCGGCCTGCTTATGGGGCCTTCTCAGGCTGGGGAACATTAAAGATTTTCTATGAATGCTGTCGTGATCCTCTGTGCCCCAGCCCCCGGCTCCCTGTACCCCCAGTCTTGGTTCTGTCCTGGACATGAGGCAGGAGTGAGGGGAGGAGGGATCTTCCTGCAGTCACACAGCAGGAGGGCCACTGGGCTTGGCTTGTGCAGAGTAAGAAAACCTCCCCCCTTCGTTTCTGGGTCACAGCTACAGTCCTCAGGGGACCATGTGGGATCAGACTCAGGGCTCTTGCGGGCAATGAATGCACTACATTTTGAGTGTAAGAAAAACTCTTATGGAAACCAACGCACCGCGTACAAAAGGTTTAATTTTGACACAGAAGTGACGAGGCTGTGCCGGCCTTCTGTTCTGCAGCCCCCCCATGGCAGGAAGCATGCTTGGGGACACTGACACCCCACTGCTACTCTCTTTGGACAGGAGTGACACCCCACTCTGACAGGACCGGAACACGCCCTCTGTAGCCAGTGGGTGATCCTCCAAGAAGGAGGCCCCTAGGGAAGTTCCATAGGAGGGCTCAGGCATCCATCTTCACAAAAACTTTGGGACGGGAAAAGATCTTGATAGCCTCTTCAATCTGTACCAGCTTCCGGTCCAGCTCAGCGCGGTGGCCCTGGGCCCTCAGCGAGTCTGCCCCAGCTGGCAGGAGCACCAGCTCACGCAGAAGCTGCTCCTGGCCTACAGGGAACCCAGGCATAGTGAGGGCTAGGCCGGGGTGCATGGTCCCCAGGGGGTGCCCCCTGCGGCCCAACACTCACTCCGGAGTAGACTGTTCAGTGTCTCCAGCCGCTGGCTCTCGGGCATGCGCGTGTGGCCAGGGGGCATGGCAGGGTCTGGCTGGCTTTGCTGACGGGCCTCTGCCTCCCGCCGCCAGAGATCCCTGCGCTCCAACAAGCTGCAGAGGCACAGGCCCAGGGTGATCATCTGGGCAGGGCTGGCTCCCACCCTGCACAGGCAGCCCTGCCCTTGGGGCTGGTCAGGGGCACCTACTAGTGGGGCAGCTGGCCCTTCTGTGTGGTGTTGTAACGCTCCTGGGCTTGCCGCTTCTGCTCCAGCACCTGTGCCAGGACCTGCAGTGAGCGGGAATGCCGCCGGGGGGCTCTCTTGGCAGCGCGGGCATTGTGGCTAATGAAGTCGACCCCTAGGCCGGGCCCCTGCAGAACATGGCAGGCATCAGTCGATGCAAACATCAGGAGACAGACCAAGTACCACCCTCACTGGAGATCCCAGCTCCACTCCCAGTCCTCCCATAACCTCTCACCTTGGCGTTGGCACCTTGTGGGTCAGGCTGAGGACTGGGAGCACGGGGTGGAGGGAGCCCGGGGCCACAGCGGGAGTGTGCCCGCAGGAACTGGGCCGGCTCTGTTCCAGAGGCAGGGCTGGGCTCCTGGAAGGCAGGACACAGCGGTGAGCTCAGGGTCTTAAGCCACAAGACTGCGGCTCTGTCCCTGCGGCCTCTTCAGAGCAGCAGCATCCCAGCCCAGAGGGCCTTCTCCTTCCGGAAGGAGAATTCACCAGCTCTGGTTTGGTTTGGCTTGGGAGACACACTGGGCAGTGCCCAAGGGCTACTCTCAGCTTAATGCTTGGGAGTGGGGGTGATGCCTGGGAGTACTCAGAGGACACATGGTGCTAAGGATCAAAACCAAGAAAGGCATGTGCTCTAGCCACTGAGCTCCCCAGCTCTTCTCATCATCATTTAAACACATGTCTCCCACATCTCAGAAAACAACAAACTATTCCTCCTATCTCAGTCCTGGTTCGAGTTACCATAGTCTTTTTATTTGGAGGGATGGGTGGGGGGAGGAGGGGTCCCCTAAGAGGGCTCAGGGACCTAGGAGGCCATTTTCAGTGGAGTTTGGGGACCACGTTGTGCAGGGGACTGAACTCAGGGACTCTGCATGCCAGGGGCACGCTCTAGCTCTCGAAGCATCACCCCAATCCTATCCTCTCTTTTTCTCCTCTTTGTAGTCAAGCTTCCTGGCTCCAAGGCTACGGCCGGCTGACCTCCAGGTTTAAAGCCAGGGTCACTTCCACGGTTCTCTTGTCCTCAGCTTCATCCTTACTAACTCCGCTCTCGCTCTGAGCCGCGAACCTAATCCTCCATCTGCTTCCTGGGCACATTGCTACCCCCTGCGAGTTCCACAGATGCTTTGGCCCAACACATATGCAGAGGATTTCATTGTCTTTTTCTCTCCAGCCTGTTCCTCCTTCGGTGGTCCAGGGATGGAGAAAGGGGACCATTGGCTACGCACAACAGGAGGCCACCTACACAGCCCCACCCGCTGAGAAATAAAGCCGAGCCAACAGTCACCCTTGGTCCCCTGGTACCTTAGTCCTTGTGCATTTCCTCCCGCCTTATGCACCAGACCAGGGCATCACTGCCTGGTGGCCACGAGACGGAAAATGCCCCTGGCTCCCGAGGCAGGTACCTGCAGAAAGGCCTTGACCCGGGACTCCACTTTGTCGTACTTCGGCGAGCGCCACAGAGCCTTCAGGGGCCTGGGCTGGCCCTGCTCCCTGCTGCGCTCCTGCTCACGAAATCGCCTCTGGATCTCCCTGATCCGCTTCAGGTTCTCTTTCTCATGGTCTTTAGGGTCCTTCCCTGGGGGATAAGATGCCACCAGGCTCTGTTCTATGTATGGCCAGTGTGTTCCAACCCCCCAGTGACCCCGCACAGCCTCATGCCTGCTTCCACCAGAACGACCTTCCCTTGTGCATGCCGGGCCTGTACACATGCTCCAGCCCACCTTTTCCTCCCCTCCCCTCCCCTCTCCTCCTAGTGCTAGTCCATCCTCTCTCCATTATTCTCTAGACTGCCATGAAGGAGGCATTACCGTTTGCCTCCTCACTAGTTCACTGTCCGCTGCCCTGTGTCGGTGCGGCCCGTGTCCCCGTGTGCTCCTGGGGCCTGGAGGGGCTGGCCCACAACAGACACTCAATGTGTGGGGAGGCAGTGCGCTGTTCCACGTGTGAGTGGGGAAGCCGAGTCCCCGCTGAGGAGTGAGGAGCAGTTTCTTTTTTTTTTTTTTGGGGGGGGGATGCACACTCAACAGTACTTAGGGGTTACTCCAGGCTCTACACTCAGAAATCACTCCTGGTGGTGCTCAAGGAACCATATGGGATGCCAGGGATCGAACCCATGTCCACCGCAAGCAAGGCAAAAGCCCTCCCACTGTGCTATCACTCCCCTCCCCCCACAGTTGCTTTTCTGTTTCTTTGTTTTGGGTCCACACCTAGCAGTGCTGAAGGTTCCTCCTGGCTCTGCACTCAGGGAATCACTCCTAGTGGGCTCCTGACGCTGGCACGCCCTGCCCACTGGGGCCCAGGAGCAGTTGCTTTTGAGCTCACTTTTTTGGTTTGCTGGGGCGGAGGATGGGGTGGGAAGTGCTCAGTGGACCAAGCAGTGTCTACACGAACTCAAGCCTCCTGCAAGCTTGCGTGCAAAGCACTCTGTCCTTTGAGCTCTGCTGCCCCTCACACCCACCTTTAAACCTCAGCCTCCCCTCACAGCCTTTACTGCCCAGAACTTACTCTTGGGAGAGGCCCCGGGGCCTAAGGAGATGCCCCCAAATTGTAGCAGCACGCCCCCCACGCCCTGCCGGCCCCGCTCCTGGATCTCTCGCGCTCCCGCGACGATGCGAGGGCCTCGGGGAGAGGCGCTGGCCGGATCGCGGTCCCACGTCAGCAAGTCCAGCTTCAGCGCGTTTCCCTCCAGGCGCCCCTGGGCTGCGGGGTTGCAAGGGCTGGAGTGCAGGGCTCAGTAGTGGGGGGTCCCCGACCCTCGCCGCACCCACCCCACCCCCAGCTCACCGGAAGCCGGTCGCCGGTAGTAGTCCGGGCAGAGCGAAGGGTCTGGGGGGATGGGCCCCGAGATGCGCGACGGGCCCTCGCACATGCCTCCGTCGCTGCGCTGCGGCCGCGCGCCGAGGCCCGTCGTGCTGCACTTTGGGGGCCGGTGAGCTCCGGCCTCGACTCGTCCCTGAACCAGGCGCCGCGGTCCTGTCCCGCCTCTCTGCCGCGTTCCTCCGCGTCCCTTGGCCCCGACACCTGGGCGCGGGGCTGGGGGGCTTGCCCGAGTGGTTTTTTCCCGCTTGCTGCTGCAAAATCCCGGCGGGTTTGCTGTTGCTAGGCAACAGTCGTTTTCGTTCCTGAGGTCAGGGGCCAATGCCCCGGCGCAAAGCCTTCTGGGGCTTGTAGTCCCCTCGGAGGGGCCGCGCGGCCGCCCTCGCCTTTTCCACTCGGTTCTTGCCGCCCCACCCTCCCTGGTGCACCCCGCTGCTCCCCGCACCCCCCCACACCAGCAGCCGTCGAGGCTGTGCTGAGGCCACGTGGCGATGGACGCCGCTGAGGCTGAGAGGTGGCCAGGAACCCCAGAGGGGCCGGCACAGCTTGCCGAGGAAATCGTTGGCCACCCTCAGACTTCACAGGTGACCAAGGGTCAGGTCCCATACACTTGGCCATGGTGCGCTAGGGCGGTCAGTTGGGCCCTGAACTGCCAGGACAGGCCCCCAGGCCGCGTGGGGTGCGGGCTGGGGTTTGGTGTCTGCTGTCAGGGAGCCCGGCTTGGGCTTGGTGACCTGTGGCCCGTGTCCTGTCCAGTGCCCTGCAAAGGGAGACCAGGGCCTGGTGCTAGCCCCTGAGGTCCGCTGGGCCCAGGGAGAAGAGAAGTGCCCTGCAGGCCCCACCTCGGAGCCAGAGGTCCCAGAGGGAAGACTCAAGCTGCAGGAAGAGCGGCTGCAGCCCCAGCCGGAGGGGCCCGAAGACAGGTGCTCGCGGCCCCTGACGACCACCGTCAGGCCTGTTCACGGCCCCAAGAGGAAGCCAGTCACGTGAGACGCTATGGGGGTTTGGGGCGCATACCAGGTCCTGCTCTGCGTGTCTCCTCACCCACTGCCTCCTGTCCCTCCACTCAAGGGCATCAAGGTTGAGCGCACCCCAACTCTTGACCCTTGCGCCTCTGTGGCCTCTCTGCCCAGGACAGGGATAAGAAACAAGCAGAGAACCCAAGTGGTGGTGGGGGAGGGGGGGCGGGGGCGGGCGCTTCTGGAGGTTCTTGGGGCCTCCAGCCTCCCAGGGCCCAGTCACCAAGCCCACCCTAGACCTGTCCCCGGGCTGCCGCTGTACAGGGAGGAGTCAGAGGGGAGTCAGAGCGAGCCCTCACCGTCGGCCAAACAGCACAAAAAAGCCAAGAAGCGCAAGAGTCTGGGGGTCCCGGTGCCCCCCGCCACAGCCAGCACTGTGTCTGCACCCTCAGAGGCCTTGGGGCTGGAGCGTGAGTGACAGCCCTCGCCCTTAGCCTTCTCCCCACCTGCTGCACCGGCCACGCCAGCCCGGTGCTCCAGCCCCTGGCCTGTCCCTGGTCCTTGTAGGAAAGGCCCAACGCCTGCGGCCCCTGTACCAGTACATCAACTACTGCAACCCCGAGCTGAACCAGGCAGACGAGGGCGACAGGGAGGCCGAGGCCGAAGTGGGAGGCAAGTCAGAGCTGGCCCTGGTCCCCGAAGAGGCCAACCTGGAGCAGCTGCAGGTCTTGCTGCCTGTCACAGGTGAGCTGAGCTCAGGCCTCGCTCTGCCCTGTCCCAATGTGCTCATGTCCCCTGCCCAGGCTCTGGTGCCCCTGGGAGAGGAAGCTCGAGAGGAGCCTGGGGGGCTGCTGAACTTGGGGGTCAGTGTCCGCCTCAAGGCTGAAGTGGATAAGTCAACCCAGGTGGACATCAACAAGATGCTGAGCGTCTGCGCTGCCCCGCTGGTCCCCCCGCTCTCTCCCCAGTACAAGTGACTGTCCCGCCCCACTGCTGGCTTCTGTCCTGAGCCTCAACAGCCGCTCAAAGGGAGGGGGGCGGGGCCCCAGAACTTGCTGAAAATAAATGCTTTCCCTCTTCTCAGACTTGGTGATTTCTCCAGTAAGAAGCCTCAGATAAGGAGCTTAAAGGGCTCAAGCATGTATCTTGCCTGTAGGAAGCCTGGGTTCGGTTCTCAGCACCCCATGGTCCCCTGAGCCTGAGCTGGGAATAGCCTCTGAGCATCACTGCGTGTGGCCCCAAAGAATCCCCAAGAGGGAAGAAGAGGGTAGGAAACAGTCCATTTTGGGATTAAAGCCCGGTTGGTTATGTGGATTCCCTGGAATGGAATAAAACTACAGAATGCCGGACCGAGAGTACAGCAGGGAGGGTACTCCTGCGATGCAGGCTTGATCCCCAGCACCCCAAATGGTACCTTGAGCTTGCCAGGAGTGATCCCTGATGCAGAGCCAGGAGCCCTGAGCACAGCCAGGTGTGGCCCCCAAACAAAACCTTACAGAATTCAGGGCCCAAAAGATAGTACACAGTGCAGGCAGTACAGCTCATCTTACATGCAGGTGACCCCAGATTTGATCCTCAACCTCCCCATGGCCCCCTCAGCACCCCCTAGAGTACAGAGCCAAGAGGTACCCAGGTACAACAAGCCCTCCAGGTACCATCAGGTATGGCCTTCCACCAGCAATGAAAATAAAACAAAAAACAATGAAACACCCAAACCTGCAAGATTCCAAGTTGGGAAGAAATTCCAGGGTGCTACCGCAGAAAATGCTCTGCCTGGGGAAGCCGGGTTAGAGTCCTGCTACTGCGCAGCCCTTCTGAGCACCACCGGGGGCAGGGGGGGGTGCGGGGTGCGGGGGGAACGACGACCTTCGAGCCATGAGCTATGAGTCTACTGAGAATTTCCATGAGTAGCCCCAGAACAAGCCAAAAACAGACCTACAGATGCCTGGAACAACCCCAGATTCAAGGCACTCTGCTCGGACCCGGTTCTATGCATTTAAAGGCTCCCAGGCAGGGCAGGGCTGTGACCCAGCAGTAGAGCACTTGACAGTGTACAGTCCTGGTTCTATTCCCAGCCCTAAAAAATGAAAGGGCTGGAGAGAGTAAGGTTCTTGCTGACCTTGGATCGATCCCTGGTGCCACGTGGTCCCTGAGCACCACCAGGAGTGATTCCTGAGCACTGGCCAGGTGTGATTCTAAAACAAAACAAAACATAAAGTAATTCCCAGCAGAAACTGAAGGTGAGGCAGGCTCCCAACCCGAGCGGATGGAGGGAAGAGGAACCAGGGCCGAGAAGAGGCTTGCCAGCTTTTGGGAAGCAGGACAAACCCTGTGCGGGGCCAGACCTTGGGATGGGCCCAACTGCCCCACTGTAACCTGTTTACCAGCACGCAGGGGGTGGTGGCAGAGGTGTTGCCAAGCCACCCCACCCCGGATGTTTGTTGCTTCTCCCCTCGGGGCTTCCAGCATGGGGCATCCTGAGGACACGCAGGGAGAAGGAAGAGCAGGAACTTCTGGCTTTCCCAAAGCGCAGCACAGGCTGCCGGGGCACCAGGAAGGTCTTCTCTCCAGCCTGCCTCCCCCCTACTTCATTACCCATTTACTCAAGCCCTGTTTTTAGGACAAGCTCATCAGACTCCCAAGCTCTGTTTACGCTCAGATGCAAACTCCAGGACCACCTGCTCCGCACCCCGGTCTCGGCGGCAGCTCACTGGCCTCCCTGTACTGTGCCCGTGGCCTCTGTTCCCAGCTACCCGCTGAGGGCATCCACCCCCTCCTTCTCACCAGTTTTCCCATAAAGTCCCCACCAATTTGACTTTTTTTTTTTTTTTTTTGCTTTTTAGGTCACCCCAGGCGATGCTCAGAGGTTACTCCTGGCTTTGCACTCAGGAATCACTCCTGGCGGTGCTCAGGGGACCATATGGGATGCTGGGAATCGAACCTGGGTAGGCTGCGTGCAAGGCAAATGCCCTCCCTGCTGTACTATCACTCCAGCCCCCAGTTTGACCTTTCTTTCACTCACCTAAAATGCTGACTCAGGGCCGGGAAGGTGGCACATGGCTTAAGGCTCTTGGCTCACAGACCCACCCAGGTTCAACCTGGACAAGGCATATAGTTCCCTGAGCAATGTCAGGAGTGGAGTCACTCCGGAGCACAGTGCCAGAAAGCCCCTGAGCACTGGCAGGTGTGGTCCCCAAACCACCAAACAAAACACCAATAAAGGCAAGTGTCTCCCCCTCCCTGTGGCGAGCGAGTGCACAAAGGCCCCCAAGGGCTCAGGGCCCCGTTGCCTCCCACCACCCGGCGGAACCGGGGTGTCCTGTGTTGCAACCCACATCATCGTGAGTCACAACTGCCTTTGGGACAACTCCCCAGGGCATGTGCCCTTGTGTCCCCTTGTACCAGAATCACCCGCCCTGCCCACTGGTACTGCCTGTCTTGCCACAGGTGAGAGGCAACGGTCAGAGGTCAGGGAAGGGGGAAAGTGGCCGATACTGGCTACAGCCCGTAGTTGCCAGGCCCGTCCACGCAAGCTGGTGGTCCCTTCTTCAAGGCCCCTCAGTGGGGACAATGCTGCCATGGCCTGGGACAAGGAGCTGCTCAGTGAGGCCACAGGCCACAGGGGCTTGGGGAGTCTGCCGCTCTGCAGAGAGCAGTGGAGACGCCTCTGAATGCTGACTCCTGGAGCGGGCTGGGGACCCAGGCACAGCTGTGCCCCAAGCATGGTGTGCCAGCCCCACGAGGCACTCTGTTTTGTTGAAGAAGACCAGGCTCCAGCAGGGATGGGGGGCACTGGGCAGGCAGACCTGGGCCTGGTGTTTTTTTTTTCCTTTTTTTGGGTCACACCTGGTGATGCTCAGGAGTTACTCCTGGCTCTGCACTCAGGAATCACTCGTGGGAGAGCTCAGGTGACCATATGGGATGCTGGGAATTGAACCCGGGTTGGCCGCGTGCAAGGCAAACGCTCTATCCGCTGTGCTATCGCTCCAGCCCTGGGCCTGGTATTTCTAAGTAGTCACTTGGGCAGCAGTATAAAGGAGCACCAGGGGGCTGGAGAGATAGCACAGTGGGTAGGGCATTTGCCTTGCATGCGGCCGACCCGGGTTCGATTCCCAGCATCCCATATGGTCCCCTGAGCACTACCAGGAGTAATTCCTGAGTTCAGAGCCAGGAGTAACCCCTGTGCAGTGCCGGGTGTGACCCAAAAAGAAAAAAAAAAAGGAGCACCAGGAAGGGACTATATGGAACGGGAAGGTGAGGAGGTCACTGCCATTGAGAACTATGAGGAAAATCAGAAACAGATATTGATTTCTTGGGGGGCAGGACTACACCCAGCTCTGCTCAGAGATCAATGTCGGTGAGCTCAGGAAACTGCAAGTGGTGCCAGGATTTGAACTGGGGTTGGCCACCGCAAGGGAAACACCTTAACTCCTGTGTTATCCACTGGCTTGAAAATGGCATTTTGAAAGTTTTTTTTTTTTTTGGCTTTTTGGGTCACACCCGGCGATGCTCAGGGGTTACTCCTGGCTCATGAACTCAGGAATCACTCCTGGCGGTGCTCAGGGGACCATATGGGATGCTGGGAATCGAACCTGTGTCGGCCATGTTGGCTGCATGCAAGGCAAACGCCTTACCCGCTGTGCTATCGCTCCAGCCCCAGTTTTCTTTTTCAATGTTCAATGTTGTAGCTGCATTTCTTTGGGCCCAGAAAATCTTTATTTACTCTCATCCCTCCCAGAAGATCCTGAGATTTGGCAGATTAGAAATTATTGCTGACCTCCTAGAGACCAGGAGGGGGCGCTGCAGGACAAGCCTGCAACAGTGTCCCCTCCCCAGGGACCACACTACTTCTGATCTCTTTAGCCACACCAAGGCCCACAGCTTCCTCAATCCCAACCTGGACTAACCCAAGAGATGTACAATGCCACATGTTTTCTTTGCCAATCTCAAACCTGAGAGAACCTCGACATCCTGGTAACTAACACAGAGGGCTGGACCTGAGCTGAACTGAACTTCCCTGGGGGGCTGCCTGCACCCCACTTCCCTTTTGGGCTGGATTCCTGACGTTGGCACCTGGCCACGGGGGACCGAGGACCCATAAGCACTGGTGAAGTGTTTGGGGTTAGGCTCTGTGGTAAACAACCCCACATCCACTGAAACTTTCAAGAGGCAAATACTTTCATCTCTCTGCCCACCCGAAGGATGGGAATGGAGCAGTGAGCTACCTGGGCAAGTTCGGATAGATCAGTGAAGTCTTAGTGGGCAATCAGCACAGTCCCACACTAGTTGGGGTTTGGATCATACCTGGCAATGGTGGGTCACTTTTAATGGTGCTAGGGTGGGGACTGGAGGAATACCATGTGATGTGAGGGACTGAACTTGGGTCACCCCCCTGCAAGGAGGTTAGCTGACCTTACCTCCTGTACCACCTCTCTGGTCCGTGCAGTTATGTTATTTCCCAGACAAGCCTAAAACCAGAACCTGTCCTGGAAAACAATCCTGGCGACTGACTTCTGTAAGTGATGCCAAGAGGAAGCCTGGTAAGAAACCCAGGGCAGGGGAGTGTGAGGAGGCAGGAGGCCTGGGCTTCATCCTGGCAGGCTCAGGGGCTACCCAACTGACAGGATGAAATGCTAGAAGAGTTCGCCTCAGCGTGGTTGGTGACCGGCTGGGCCAGGCTGGGCTCCACAGCACGTGGGACCTTCCTCCAAATTCACCCCGTCGACTGTCCTAGGACCAGTCCCTTCCCTCTCCCAGGCTCCGTGAAGTCCTGATCAAGGCTGCCTCGAGGAAACAGTCATCTCTGGAGGCTCTGGGCTGGGCAGGAAGAACCAGCCGAGGCTCAGGGAGGGTAGCGGGGGGAGTGACGGACCAGGGCAGAGAGGCGCTGCGGTGAGGAAACCGGGCACAAGGGGCTGCGAGGCACAGAGACGCCCCCCTCACAGACAGACAGCCGCCACACACCACGGTGCCAGTTTCTGATTTATTAACAGTACCACACGCCCCAGAGCTTTCCCGACTCCTCTCAGCCCGATCAGGGGGCCCTGCCCGGGTTAACTGCTCGTGAGCACTCAGCTAAAAGGGGGACCCCTTTCCTGCCAGCGGAGGGGCAACCTGGAGCCCGCAGAGGCAGAGCCGTAAGGCAGAACCCTGAGGGAGTACGGCTGCCGCGCCCGGGCCGCCCACCATTCCTGAGACGCCCGGGCCGAGGACAGGCCTAGCCACAAGCCCCAGGCCCCAGGGGACTGGCCAGGCCCCCCAGCCAGGCCGCTAGGGGCCCCGCTACCATCTCATTCAGCAAGTCTGAGGAGTCAGCCCGCCGCCCGAGGATGCCTGCCGGGGGCCTTCGGGCTCACAGGTTATTCCGCTGCAGTGCCTCGCACAGGTTCTGGTTGGCATCCGGCTCCTCCGTCAGCACCTCCACCTGCTCCCACTCCCCCGTGCGGCTGGACCGTTTGATGGCGTCTACCACGCTCTGCATGTACAGCCCGTCCTCGAAGGAGGCGGCCATGGCCACGGGGCTGTGGTCCCACGTGCGGCGGTCGCCCTGGCCCTGGAAGGAGCGGCGCAGGGCCTGCACCATGTACACCATGCCCTTCAGGTAGAGCAGCGGGACGTCCTGGGACCCCCGCTCGGGCAGCTCCGCGCCCACGGCCAGCGAGTCCCGCAGGAGCAGCTCCTCCTGGCTGGCCGAGTTCTTCTGGCCGTAGAGGTCGGCGCCCCGGGCCACCAGGCGCCCGGCCGAGCCCACCACCATGACCTCGTGCACGAAGGCGCCGGGCATGTTGAAGTTGAGCGTGACGGTGCCGCACACGCCGCCGCCCATGAGCATCTGGAAGAAGCAGAAGTCGTCGCTGGTGACGTGCCGGATGCCCCGGATGGCCGCGTTCTGCCGCACGAAAGTCTTGAGCAGCCCGTGCACCTTCTCGGCCCGGCGGCCTGTGAGGTGCGTGAGCAGGTCCACGATGTAGGTGCCCATGGTGTGCAGGCCCCCGCCGCCCATGAGCTCGTCGCACACCCAGCCGTAGCTGGGGCTCAGCAGGCTGCCCGAGTAGACGCGCGCGTCGCAGATGAGCACGGCGCCCACGTAGTGCTCGGCGATCAGCTGCTTCATGCGCACGAAGGCGGGCAGGAAGCGCAGCACGTTGCCCACCAGGCTCATGAGCTGCGGGTAGTAGCGTGAGGCCGTCACCATGCGGAAGGCATCCACCGAGGTGGCGGCCTTCTCACACACCACGTTCTTCCCAATACCTGCCAAGACACGACACGGGACCTTGGAGTTACCAGCTGGCCCGGGGCCCCGGGACCCGAGTCGTGGCAGGCAGAGACTTGGGAAAGCCACCTGGAACTCCAGACAGGGGCCCGGGACGCGCCTGGGGGCTTAACTGCTGTCCGGTCCTTGGGGCCAGAAAACGGCCAGTGCTGGAGGAAGGAGAAAGTTCTTTGTTTTAGAGGTGCCCGGGCCTGACCCCGGGCTGAGTACATGCAAGTCATTGTTTACTTTCTTGGTCTTTTTTTTTTTTTTTTGGTTTGTTTTGGGGCCACACCTAGAGGTGCTCAGGGCTTACTCCTGGCTCTGCACACAGGGATGCTGGGACTCGAACCCGGGTCAGCCGTGTGCAAGGCAAACACCCTACCTGCTGGACTATTGCTCCCTCTGCCTCCAAATTTTATTTGCTTTTTGGGCAAGCCGAGTGATACTCAGGGCTCTGGCTCTGTGCTCTGGGATTGCTCCTAGCAGACTCGAGGGACCATATGGGATGCTGGGGATTAAGTCTATGCTGGCTGTACGCAAGGCAAGTGTCCTACCTGCTGTACTATCTCTCTGGCCCCCAAAATTAGATTAAAGATTTAGGCTGGTGATGTGGCTCAGTGGTAGAGCTCACCCCCCACCCCAGACTCACACACACCCACATCCACACACATACAGCCCCCCCCCCCCCCACACACAGAGTTCGGTATCAACATGCCATGGATGAGATTAGTCACTATTTTCTGTGCTCTGTCAGATCTCTTACAGAGCAGGGCCATCTATTCCTGGAAGCTCTTATCCTGACACAAACAACAGGGAACCTGGTGCCTATAGACAGTTGTCCCAACTCCCTTCCCATCTCCCCACCACCCTGGCCCTCAAGAACTCCACTGGGCATGTGCCATCTGACACGCAGGAGCCTCAGGTGGACCCCCAGGGTAAGGGGCTACAGCGTCGAAGCAAGGAGGCCTATGGCATAATCCAGTGTTTCCACTGGGCTCAAGTCCCCACATTCTCTTAACCTTGACGAACGCTGATTCCCAGAGGTGCTGCAAGGAAAACACGACCACAGCTTGCCCAGTGTCACGCTCCCAGGGCAGGGGGCAGGTGAGGGGGGAGGTCCTTGGCCCAGCAAGGAGCAGACCCAAATATTAACACTACTCACCCTGCAGGGTCCCCTAGAAAGGACACAGGATTTCAGCACCCCAAGGCTGCCGATGGCAATTACTCAAGGCAGGGAGGGGCAGATGGCAGAGGAAGGGGGGCTGGAGAAAGGGACTCGGTGCTGCAGGGAGTCTGAAGACCATCACACTAGGATAAGAAACGTGGTCCAGACTACAAGGGTCAAGGATGCAGAGAGACCTTCCTTTCGGGGCTCACCGAGGAGCGCTCTCGTTGGCACTTTGATCCCAGCAGTGCACGGGTGTGGGAGCGCCAGGCAGAGGCGCCACTACCTAGACTAAGATAAGCGTGGCCTGGAAGGGCAGAATGAAGTCTCTCTAGCTTTCCTGCGGAGCCGAAGACCAGAGACGTGAACAAGGGCCTTTGTCTCCAGGGAATGGAGAAAGCGTGGGTGTGGAATGCTTCAGAGCTCATTTTTCTGGACGTGAACAAGTTCTGAGCAGTTTCCCACTGGGCTCACACTCTCCGGATTACTGGGCGTGTAGCAGAGAAGCTGCAGGGACCTCTCCGTCCCCGCTGCATCTGGTGGCCGCGGCACTCCTTCTCCACCTAGTGGCCAGGGCCTGCACACCTGATTCCAAACAGCAGAAGCGGGCAGCTCAGGATGTTTCAGAAAACCCTGAGGGGTACAGTACAGGCAGAAGGGCACTTGCCTGGCAGGCGACCCACCCTAGTTCAATCCCTGACCCTGCATTGGGACCCCTGAACACGGGAAGGAGCCACTTCTGAGAACTGAGCCAGGAACAGCCCTGAGCACTCTGGGTATGGTCCCAAAACAAAACACGAAACCCGAAGACCGGATGATGATGATGCTGCTGCTGCTGACGATGATTTTGTTTTTTGGCAATCCTGGAGATGGACCTAGGCCCTCACACAGGCAAGCCAGTGCCCTACCGCTGAGCTGCGTCCCTGGCCCCTGGCTGGTTCTACTATTCCTAACAAACACGACATTACTAGAAAATAATTAAGAGGGGCCAGAGAGCTAGCACAGTGGGCAGGATGCTTGATTTGCATGTGGCTAACCTGGGTTCGATCCCCAAAAATCCCATATGGTAGCCCGAGCACTGTCAGGAGTGATTCCTGAGTACAGAGCCAATCATAATTCCTGAGCATCGCTGGATGTGGCCCAAAAGCCAAAAACCAAAACAACCCAAACAACAACAACTCACCAAAAAAAGCAAAGCAAAAGCCACACAGACTCACTTCAGGGTTGCAGGCCCCCGGGAAGTGCCCGGGGGCAGAGCCACAGGCAGGTTTGCTGGGTGGAATTGGCAAATATCTTCTCTTAGCTGGTATGCCAGGCCCCATGCCACTCTCTGGGGATACTGCATAGGGCATGGTCCCCACTGTCGGATAACTGGAGAGCTTAGGGAGAGACAGTGATTCAAGCTCTCCTACAAACACCGGCAGAGCTCCATCAGTGACAGACGCAAGGAAGGCGGAAATGGTGGAGTGAGGGCACAGAGCTAAACTGGGCAGGGGGAAGGCGGTCCTAGGTACTGGCGTGGGTTTGTTTTTTTGTTTTTGGGGTTTTTTGGGGGTCACACCTGGCAATGCTCAGAGTTTACTCCTGGCTCTGCACTCAGGAATCACTCCTAGTGGTGCCCAGTGGATCATATGGGATGCCAGAGATTGAGCCCAGGTTGCCCGCATGCAAGGAAAACGCCTTACCCGCTGTACTATTGCTCTAGCCCCAAGGGACTGGTGTTCCTGGGGTTAAACAGTTTGGGTCAAGTGGCTTGAGGAACCATTTCATTATCTCAGGTGAAACTAGAGAAAAGAGTTGACAACTCTCTTTCCCTAAGGAAGCCCACATATGGCAGAAACCCAGAGACAGAGATCCACCTATTATATATATATATATATATATATATACACACATATATATATAAAATTTTGGGTCACACAAGGCAGTGCTTTGGGCTTAATCTGGGTTCTGTATTAAGGGGTCTCTCCTGGTGGTGTTCGAGAGACCAGTTAGGGTGCTGGGGATGGAACCTGGGTCAGCTGCGTGCAAGGCCAACGCTCTATCTATACTATCACTCTGGCCCTGAAATCCACATTTTAATGACAAACCTAAGAAAATACTCCAGGGGTTGGAGATGTGGCTCAGAGGCAGAGCACTGCCATGCATGCATCAGGCCCTGGGTGCCATCCCTGACAGCTCGTGGTCCCCAGAGAGCTGAGGGAGGTTATGGCGCAAAAACCACCAAGAAAGAACAGAACAGGACATTCATCCGAAAGATGTGGCGGCACTCTGAACATTAAAAGACGTTGTGTGGAGTCCGGGCACCTCAATGGCCCCAGGCTTCCCACCCGCCCAGCATCCGTCCTCACCACAGTGTCAAATGGACCCCAAGTGTTCCTGTGGCACCAGGGGCTCCTGCAACTGCTCTGGACTCTGCAAATGCTCCTCCAAGTAAAGGTGCTGCCCTACCACCCTCCAGGCTGTGCCAAGTGTGCCCATGGCTGCACCTTCAAAGGGGCCTTGAGCAGTGGAGCCGCTGTGCCTGGCGAAGGGGAGGTGCAGTTGAAATGTCCTCCCGGACCCACGGCAGCACACAGACACGGCCCGTCCCTGTGGGGCCTCGGCCTGTTGATTCCCATCTCTGCTCTAAGAAAAAGATATGAAAGTAAAAGCTGTTGCCTTTTCAAAAATACAAACAACACTGTCCTCCCGTTATTCATCAATCTGCTCAAGCGGGCCCAGTAACGTCTCCATTTTGAGACTTGTTACCGTGTTTGGCATATTGAATATGTCACGGGTAGCATGCCAGGCTTTGCCATGCAGGCGAGATACTCTTGGTAGCTTGCTGGGCTCTCCGAGAGGGGCGGAGGAATCGAACCCAGCTCGGCTGGGCCCTCCGCTAGCAAGGCTCAGGAGCTACCTCCTGGGTTCCCTTGGTGCTCACAGGTCACTTCTGGCTGTACTCAGTGGAACAAATGTGCCGGGTTTCCTGCGTGTGAAGCAAGTGTTCTAGCCATTGAACTCTCTCTCCGGTCCCCTATACACATACGTGTGTATGTGCAATGTTGGGAATTGAAGCCAGGGCCTCACATATGCATGAATAACGAGCATCCTGGGACTATCTCTCTGGCCCCACGAAACAATCTCTATGGCACTAGAAGTGAGCAGCAACTGTAATGCTCTAACTTGGTGAAGAAAATACAACTGCACCACAATTTCACCTGCTAAGAGACTCGGGGGCTTCTGCGGAGCCTGAGTGAGCAGAGCCCCAGGGCTGGGCTGGTGGGCAAGAGCTTTCCAGAGCTTTCACCCACAGAGAGCCAGCCGACAGCCCTGCCCCTCAGTCATCCAGGACCTTCATGTTCAGACCCGAGGGCCCAAGTCAGGGTTCCTCCATACAAGGAACCAGAATGCAGTTGCTGCTGGCAGAGCGGCCAAGGTTCATCTTTTGACCTGCAGTTAGGAAAGCGCCTCTGGGGAACCCGCGGGCTCAAGATCGAGAGGCCCAGAACTCTGTGTCTGGGGTGCTGGCCCCATAAGCCAGCGCTATGTCACTGAATGGCAAGGAGGCTGCTGACCAGCCCTCCCCAGTGAAGTGCTCGCCCAGGGCAGCGTCCCAACTCAGTCTGGAGCCATGCTACGTGCTCCAGGAGTCTCGTGCGCCTTGAGGAGCTCCCACATCACATAGCCCTGCGCTCACGGGACAGACAGACTGTCTAAGGGTGGCCTGACAGATTCTCATTCTTGCTCATTCCGATGGCTATCTACCCTTCCCGGCTCAGAACAAGGGGACTGCCTGGGGTCTCCTGTGGGAGTAATGAGGGGGCACAGCCATCGGTCTCATGGCACCGGTTCTGGAGCCAAAGATCTCATGGGATCAGAGACTTGGTTCTTATCAGCTCAATTAAAACAAGTGCTCAGAACCTGGGTTGTTACTTCAGGTCTTTGTCATTTACCTTTTTTTTTCTTTTTGGGTCACACCTGGCGATGCACAGGGGTTACTCCTGGCTCTGCACTCAGGAATTACTCCTGGCGGTGCTCAGGGGACCATATGGGATGCTGGGAATCGAACCCGGGTTGGCCATGTGCAAGGCAAATGCCCTACCCACTTGTGCTATCTCTCCAGCCCCCTGCCATTTACCTTTTAATGTGTGTTGTTTCTAGTCTTTCCGGTTTTTCATGGGGGAAGGCAGGGCTACCAAATAGTGCTCAGGAGGTCTGAGGGCTCCTCTCGGCAAGCTGACCACCCAGGCTGTTGATTCAATGCTCAGGCCAAGGTGGGTGACACTGATGCCCGGACCCTGTGGTGCTGGGGATTACCCGGGACACCCTGATGGAGCTCGAGGGTCCTCAGCCAACACCAGTGGGGCTCAGGGAGCGTGGGGTGCCGTGGAAGGAGCCCAGATGAGCCGCCTGCAAGGCATGTGCTGGAGTCCCTGTGCGATCTCTCCAAGGGCCCCTCCAGTTTTTTCCGCTTGACTGAGGCCCAAGGCGGGCAGGACTCTCATCACGCTGCTTTGGATGCCCAGAAAGGCCAGTGTCTGGGTGAATGCTTATCGACGGCAGGAAGGAGAAGCCCAGCAGAATGGGAAGGGAAGGGCACAGCAGGCCGGGCAGGGGCACGAGGCCGCCCGGCTCCCTGCTTCCTGGGCGAGCTGCAACGCGAACAGGCTGTGCGGGGGCTGCCGGGACCGTCCTGCCCGCTGGCACATACACCAGCCGGGCTGGCAGGAAGGGCGTGCGCTCCTGCAAGTCAAGGAGAGACAAAGCGCAGGAAATGGCAGCCTTGCCTCCCCGCCTCTCCCTCCTGCAGGCTGCACTGCGCAGGAAAATGAGGGAACCAGCACCCCAGCACCAGCCGCTTCCAGGGCCCCAAAGGAGGAGTCACGGGGTCAACCTGGTAACCCCGAGTTCTTGCAACAGGCCCGCTCTTCAGGCCTTTCCTTCAGCCTGGCTCAGGTGTTGTTTCTCACAGCCAGGCATGCTTTTGCTCCCCTTGCCTGGAAGACACTCCCCTGACACACACACACACCCCCCACACGCTCTGCCGAGCAGTGCGCCAGGAGTGAGGGACATCCGGTTCTCTCTCTCTCTCATACACACACACACACACACACACACACACACACACACACCATGCTCTGCACTGTGCCAGGAGTGAGGAACATTCGGGTCTCACACACACACACACACACACACACACACACACACACACACCACGCTCTGCTGAGTACTATGGAGTACTATGCCAGGAGTGAGGGACATCCGGGTCTCTCTCTCTCTCTCTTTCTCTTTCTCTCTCTCACACACACACACACACACACACCACGCTCTGCCGAGCACTGTGCCAGGAGTAAGGAACATCCGGGTCTCTCTCTCTCTCTCACACACACACACACACAACACACACACACACCCCACACTCTGCCGAGCACTGCCCCAGGAGTGAGGTGAGGGACATCCCATCCAGAGGCCCGCGCCATCTCTCACCTAGCGCCTTCACTGCGATCTGCCGGGTGAGCGGCGGCGGGATGTTGACGCACACTAGGTCCACATCTTGATGCAGCAGGACGTCGTCGGTGCGGCTGGTGTAGAAGGTGATGTTCATCTCCTCGGCCAGCTGCTTCGCCTCCTCCTCCGTCTTGCCCCACAGGGCCTCCACGGTGAAGCCCTCGGCCTGCAGCAGTGGCACCAGGACTCGGGCCGAGCTGCCCGTCCCGAACACGCCCACTCCTGGCAGCGTCTTCATGCCGGCCGCCCCGCTCACCAGCTCATCTCCTCACGAGGGCCTCCTGCCGGAACACGACCTTCCCCGGCACCTGGTCAGGCATGGCTCCTGCAACGGCAAGTGCCACACCGGCTGTTAGTGGGGCGTCACGGTCTCTTCTGCCCTCGAGCACAGACGCCAGGCTGCAGAGTGAAAGGCTGAAAAAGTTTCTCTCCCGGAGAGGAGGCGGTGGCAGCCCCCGCTGAGTGGAACTTGGGGGAGGGGGAAGAGTGAAAAATGGACAAAGCCGGGGTCAAGTCTGAATTTTCAGTGTGATCTCAAAATTCAGGGTTCATGTGTAGTGTACATGGGCACGATTCAAGGATCCTAGCTTACAGAAACAGTGCAAGGCAAAACAACAGGAGGGAAAAGGGAGTATGGGGCTCTGGAAGGTGCTTTATTTATTTATTTACCACCCAGCGGTACCGGGAGCGAGTCAGAGCTGCCTGCACTCAGTCCTCGGAGCGCTCTCTCCGGCCCTGTGGGATTTAGTCTTGCATTTTATTGCTGAGAAGGGGGAGGGATGGGGAAGTGAGGGGTCCTCTGAGCAAAGCCTGGAGATTCTCTAGCACTGATTCTGGGAGCCAGGTGTGGTGCCAAACCAAAACCAAGGCGGCAAACCTGGGGAAATCTCACTCGAGTCCCATGCGTGCCTGCATCTCAGAATGCAAAGACTGGCTGCTCCCGGGTGGAGAAGCCTCCTGGTGGGGGGGGGGGGGGGGGGGGGGGTCTGATCTGGAAACACAGTTTCAATATGTGGCCCCAGCTCCCAGAAGTCCTTGAACTTCAAAAAATTGTACTAACTAAACTTGCTGGAAGGGAGGGGTCTTGGAAGGTCACCCATGCTACCTTACTACAGAAACAATGTTGGCTCTTTGTACAGAGGATTAAAGAAATTCATGTAAAGCATTTAAAGGGCCAGAGAGCGCGCTCAGTGGGCTGAGTAACTGCAAAGAGGACTCAATCCCGGCGCAGCATCCCTGAGTTCTCCTGAGCATTAGCGGGGGCAATCCAGGGCACGGAGCTGCTGTGACCCTAAAACAAACCAAAAAATCAAAAATGAACAAGGCTGGTAGTGTGACTGACTCTGCGGCCGAGTGCACGCCTTACATGTGTGAGGCCAGGTTTGATCTGTCGCATCCCAAAAACAAAACACAAAAAACCACCATGAGGCCAGCAACAACAGGAATGTTGAATGCCTTCTTGGAGGTGTAAGATTAGTCACAGTGGCGCTGGAGAGAGCACAGCGGGGAGGGCGCTTGCTTTGCATGAAGCTGACCCGGGTTTAATTCCCAGCATACCCCATGCAACACCACCAGGAGTAACCTCGGAGCATCGCCAGGAGTGGCACCCAAAACAACAAAGATCTTTCACGGCAATACTGACCATGTAGGGGCCGGGGTGACAGTATGGAGGTAGGGTATTTGCCTTGGACAGAGCTGGCCGACCCAGGATCGATCCCCAGCACCACATATGGTCCCCCCAGCCATATGGGATCCCTGAGTGCAGAACCAGGAGTAACCCCAGGCAGGTGTGATCCCAAACTCCCTGGGCCCACAACCCCCAACACTGACCAACATAATGAGAAGCTGGGACTCAATATAGATATGAAGAATAGTGACTGGTCAGATGCAGAATGCTACAGAGCTGCTAAGCCGCGAGCCAGAAACCCTTAGTGACCCACAAGACAACACCAGTCACCGAAAGCAAATCAAAACAAACGAAACCTTAAAGTGTGTTATTTGGGCCAGGAAGAGAGTTTCAAGTAAATCTGAATTTGTATGTGGAAGACGGGAGCACAATCTGACGCTGCATGGTCCCCTGAGCACCCAGGAGTGACCCCACGCAGTGAGCCTCCAAGCACTGTTGGGTGTGACCCCAAAGCATAAATAAACAGAAGTGTGCTTTAATGTCATGCTAAGACAAAAAGTTCAGTAGAAGTACATATGAGAATCCTACATCGACGAGCATTCCACACGTAACTCAGGACCACCAGAATATACCCAAATTAATATCATTTACCTGGGGAATGATGAGTTGAGTTTAGGGAAAATTTTTACATTCTGGACTTTGCTAAATTTCTGGGGCCGGAGAGATAGTATAGTGGGTAGGGCACTTGCCTTGTACATGGCTGATAGGCACCACATATGATCACTCAAACACTGCCATGCCAGGAGTGACACCTGAGTGCAGAGGCAGGAGTAAAATTTGAGCACTGCCAGGTGTGGCCCAAAAACCAAAATCAAAACCAAACCAAACCCCCAACATTCTTTCTTGTAAAGGAACTGCTCTTTAAGTGACACTTGAGATGCCACAGGGGATAAGGCACTTGCCTGCCTGCAACTGACTCCAGGTCTGACCCCAAGCACTGCCGGGGTGACCCTGGAGCACTGAGACAGGAACCAGCCCTCTGCCACTCATCTGGCCCCCGCGTCACTCACCTAGATGAACACAACCACCTTTGGCTTCAGCTCCACCCGCCTTTTCTTCCTGCCATTCTTCTGACTACAAAGACGACTTTATAAAAGGCAAATGGGAGCGTAAACCTCCCTTCCTTTCCAGCTCAGTGTGAAGTACAGATTGTTCAGTGTGACTAACAAGGCTTGCCTGATCCAGAAACGTCCGGACAGGCCAGGTCTAGTTCTGGGCAGGGTCCCGTGCGAGGATTCTCTGGGACGGATGAGTTCAGGACACACAACCCAGCCGGCAGGATATGTAGCTGAATTATGAGCTAACAGGTGCACGGCTGGGAGACAGTTACGTGAAACGACAGTAATAGCCTGAGAGTAATGGGAGATTAAACAGTGGGGGGAAGTTGTTTCCTGAGGTCCTTCAGACGGCATTCATGGCAGGATCATTTCACAAGAAGTTGTCCACATACGTTCATAAGGAGAATTAATCATGAGAGCCAAAAAGTAGGAAGAGCCCAAATGTTCATGCCCTGCTCTCTGGGCAAGCACTGTCCATCCCTGTCCTGCAGCAGACTGGGCCCCAGAGAGCCATCAGGTCCTTACACAGTGACAAGCATGGATGCGTCTGCATAAAATGAGCAGCCCTGGCAAATCTGCGCGGATGGAATAAATTTGTGTTGGGGGAGGAGAACAGAGAGGAGCTGAGAGGTTAAGAAGTTCAATTCTTTCTTTTTTCTTTTTTTCATTTTTTGAGACATAGCTGGTGGTACTTAGGGGTTACTCCTGGCTCTGCACTCAGGAATCACTCCTGGCAAGCTCAGAGGACCATAAAGGATTAAACCTGGGGATTAAACCTGGGTTGGCTGTATACAAGGCAAGTGTCTTATCTGCTGTACTATCTCTCTGACCCCATTTTTTCTCTCTTTAAAAATATTCTTGGTGGTACCAGAGTGATAGTACAGCGGGTAGGCACTTTCCTTGCACACAGCTGACTGGGGTTCAATCCCTGCAATTCCATATGCTTCCCCAAGCTTGCCAGGAGAGATTCCTGAGAGCAGAGCCCAGAGTAAGCCCTGAGCACCACCAGGTATGGCGCCAAAGCAAAAAATTTTAAAAGTTCAAAACAGCACATAAAAAAACTACAGACACACACACACACACACACACACACACACACACACACACACACAAATATCCAGCGACCAGAGAGCAGTACAGAGGTAAAGCCCTTGCCATGCACATGGTGGTTGTGTTCAGGGATATTCCTGGCTCTGTGCTAACAAATGACCATTGGTGGTACTTAAGAGTCCGTATGTGGAGAGAAGGATTCAAACTGGAGAGCCCCTTAACCCACGTATTTACAGGATATATATATATATATATATACATATATATATATATACATATATATATATCTCCAACCCCAATATTTATGGTTCTGATGTACAGTCATCAATATCTCACTACCACTGAAATGTCCAAGACCTTCCACCAACATCCTTATGACAGTCACTTCTAGTCCACCTCTTCATTTACCCCACCCTCTCCCTCTTTCTTTGTTCTTTTATTGGGCCAGACCCAATGTGCTTGGGGGCTACTCCCAGCTTGGTGCTGGGGGTTCTTGGGGGACCAGGTGGGGCTGGGAATTGAACCCGGAGCTCCCGCGTGTAAAGTACGTGCTCCAGCCCACTGAGCCATCTCCCCAGCCTGGGCCAACTGCATTTTATGTGTATGGTCACTCACTGTAGTTGAAGGGATTATTCTTTCCCCAGAATGATTTTAACACCTTTGTTAAAAATCAAATGTTTACCATCTGCTCATTTATGGTCACTCAGGGGCTGGAGCAATAGCACAGAGGGTAGGGCGTTTGCCTTGCACGTGGCCAACCCGGGTTTGATTCCCAGCATCCCATATGGTCCACCGAGCACCGCCAGGAGTAATTCCTGAGTGCATGAGCCAGGAATAACCCCTGTGCAATGCTGGGTGTGACCCAAAAAGCAAATAAATAAATAAATAAATAAATCACTTATGGTCACTCTATGGACTGGAGCAATAGCACAGCGGGTAGGGTGTTTGCCTTGTAAGCGGCCAACATGGCCGACCCGAGTTCAATTCCTCCGCCCCTCTCTGAGAGCCCAGCAAGCTACGAGAGTATCTCACCCACACAGCAAAGCCTGGCAAGCTACCCGTGACGTATTCGATATGCCAAACACAGTAACAATTGTCACAATGGAGACGTTACTGGGCCCGCTCGAGCAAATCGATGAACAACGGGAGGATAGTGACATAGTGACAGGTCACTCTATAAATAATGTATAGGTTTATTTATGAGCCCTCAATTTTATCCCATCAATATATGTCTGTCCTTATGTCAGCACCATTCTGTCCTGATAACTGTCTCTTTATACACCCCTTTTTTTTGGCTTTTTGGGGTCATACTTGGCAATGCTCAGGGGTTACTCTTGACTCTTCACTCAGGAATTACTCCTGGCAGTGCTTAGGAGAACCTGATGGGATGCTGAGGATTGAACCAAGGTCAGCTGCATGCCAGGCAAATGCCCTACCTGCTGTACCATAGCTCCAGCCTCATGAGTTTTAAGATAAGCTGTTAATTCTCCAGTCTGTTAATACTTCAGTCTGGGATTTGTTTGAGACCAAGTCCTCTGAGTTTGTAGTTTAATTTGGGGAATACTATCATCTTCATACAGTCTTCTGTTCCATAAACATGGGATGTCTGATCATTTAGTTAAGTCTTTCCAAAAAATACTAGCAGTTCTCAGAAGTTGAATTAGATACACCTTTTATTTCTAAATATTCCATTGTTTGATACCACTTTTCCCCATCTCCCTCTCTCCTTCCTACCCTCACCCCCCTGACACAGAGAGGCTCTTGGGACCACAAGTAGTAGAAGGAAAGGAACCCAGGGCTCTTGCCTATTAAGCGATCTCGCCAGCCCCTGAACTGCTTTACTCCTCTTTCATTCAGACTCAAGAGTCTCTTGCAAACACACAAAGGTGCACGGTGCAAAGAACATTATGTGAAACAGGGCTGGAGAGCTAGGACAGCAGGTAAGGCCCTTGCCTTGATCGTGGCCATCCCAAGTTCAATCCCACAGGGTCCTCTGAGTCCTGCCAGAAGTGACCTGAGCACAGAGCCGGGAGTAAGCTTTGAGCTTTGACAGGTGTGGCCCAAAAAACAAACAGAAAAATAACATGCCCGTGTTAGAAGCTGATTTGCCAGGAGAGCCCCTGCACGGCTTTCTGCACCGAAGTGCAACTGTGCCTTGGTGAACCCCTGGAATAAGTATGACTGGGGCACCTCTGCACCCGTCCCGGTCAGTTTCCTGCCTGCCCTGTCGGAGGCCGAGGAGCCTGGCCTGCCCAGTAATCTATGGCACCATGAATGTTCGGGGTTTCTTTTGGTGTCTGTGACCAGAGTTATCGCCGAATCCAGGAGAGCCCCAGAGCCCATGAGTCACATCTGTGACAGCCTTTTGGGCCAGCACTGGCCATGGGTGGGGTAAGTGCTGAATTCAGCATAGTTGTAGAGCACAAAAAACTTTCCCCCGTTTTTGGGTCACACTTGGTGATGTTCAGAGGTTACTTCTGGCTCTGTACTCAGGAATTACTGCTGGGGGTGCTCAAAGGACCACAGAGGATGCCGGGGATGGCACCTGGGTCTGCTCATGAAAGGCAAGTGCCCTCCCCACTGTGCTCTCTCTAAAGTCCCAGAGCAGCACCTTAGCCGTCCCTGTCTCTCTCCCTGTGGCCTCAAATTCTCTCATGCCCACAGGCTTCCCTCTGAGCGACAGCGCAGATGAGCGGCTCCTGGAACACTTCCTTCACTTACAGTCTCTGGTTTTGAGTTTTCTTGGGCTCATGGCTTTTTTTGGCAGCTTGAGACTTCACCTTGGTGGCACTCACTTACGTAGTGGTGTTGCCCCGAGGTACCAAAGGCTGTGAACCCCGTTGCCCCCCACGAGCCAGTCTGTGTCCCCTCAAATCATACCGGAGTCACCACCTGCTCTACTGTCCCACTGCTCTATGCTCTAGTCACTCAGGGGATGTCTGTGCTGTGGCCAAAATCCACAAAATGGGTGAGAAGACATGTCAGTAACCTCTTTTGTACTGAAACCATCTCCAAGGGCTGCCTTGCCAGCACGCAGCAAGGGGTAGTGCTGGCTTTCCTCAGTGATTTCAGCAGCTGTCCTTTCAAGCCCCTAAAATTCCCCTCCTCCATGACCCTCACATCCTGCACACCCCTTTCCCATGCCCCAGAGCTTCCCAAACACTGCCCCGTGCAGAGCAGACACATTCCGATGCTCACTGACGGTTCTGGAAGGAAGGTGGGGCCTGCCTGGCCACAGGTGCACATGGGTACCAGGCCTGGCATGCTCAGGCCAGCAGCAGCGCACTCAAGGTCTCTCACCCTCCATGCCGGAGCTCGGGCTATGTCCTGGCGACTCTTCGCTCCGTCCCCCAACCCCCGCCACCCCCCACCATGTAGGTCCTGCCAGGCCCTGGGACTACACAGCACTTGTCAGCTGCCCAAGCTACGGAAATGGCCTTTCGCTCAAGGATCTTCAGGTAACCCTTTGGGTGTGCGGCTTCCTGCCTACCTAATACTGTAAGCAAACACAATTGCTCAATTCTTTTTTGCTGGTTTGTTTTTTGGGCCACGCCCGGCGGTGCTTCAAGGACTACTCTTGGCTCTATGCTCCTGGTGGTGCTCAGGGGACCCTGTGGCGCCAGGGATTAAATCTGGGCCTCTGGCATGCAAAGCTTGTGCTCCAATCCTCCAGCCATCTCTCTAGTACCCAGCACTATTGAAATTTAAATTAAAAAAAATTTTTTTTTCCTTTTGCTCTTCTTGAGGCCACATTAGTTGATGCTCAGAGCTCAGTCCTAACTCTGTGCTTACGGTTCACTCCTGGCGGGCTCATGGGACCATATGGGGTGCTGGGGATTGAACCTGGCAAGGCAAGTACCTTATCCACTGTAGTATCTCTCTGGCCCGGCTTGGTTTTATTTGTAGCTGTCCACTGGAATCCACACAAATGTCCTTCAAGTGGTAAGAGGCTAAACTGGTGAATCAGCGACTTGGGGATGGTTTGGCCGCAGAAGCAGCTGCTCTGGTGGCAGCATCAAAGTCTGTGGGTCTCACCCACAGCACTGGCCCGACGTTCCTAGCCTGGCCCGGCACTGCTGCTATTTGGGGACCTCTAAAGGTAAACCAGCTCTCCCCTCAATGAGCACCACGGTCAGAGCATGAGCACCACATGAAGTGTCTGTGGGACCCCCCAGCCATCGCAGCAACAGCAGAAGAAAGGGGCCACACGGTCAGGGAACAGCAACTGAATGCACGGTACTCGACCATCACGAGGAAGCCCCGATACACACACTGACTCAAGTGGAGCTCAGTGGGCCCGGCTCGGTTTGTGGTTCCGTCTCACGTGGCCTCTGCTCCCACGCGCCCCATCCCTGACACACTGCACAGTCCAAACTGACCATGCGCCACTCCAGGCCAGCTGGCAGATGATACAGCTCAGGCACACGCTGGCGTCATTGGCCCTCAATGAGCGAATTCCCTGACCTGGTCCGTTATGAACCCCTGTAACGTCCACTACATGCCAGCGCTCTCCAAGAGGTCAAAGATATCCCAGTTTCTAAAATGTTCCTGCCTTTTTCGGAGGAATCATTATAATTCGGGCTCACACACCTCCAGCTGGAGTTTCTCTTTTCAACTTTTGGAAACAAATGTTTGCCATGAGGATTGATAAAAAAATCTCGGGGTGGAGCTAGCAAAGCACACAGGAGAACAGGAAATGAGAGTGAAGTATGGACACATGTAACAACATGTATGAACCTTAGAAATGTTATTGGCTCAGAGATACAAGAACACCCCCACCACCTCCCGCTGCTATTGTTGCATCTTACTGGAGAATAAGCTAAGGTAGGGCCTGAGCCATAGTTCAGCTTGTAGGGCATTTGTCTTGCACCTGGCCGACTGGAACCCCGTGTGGTCCCCAGAGCATGGCTAGGAGTGATTTTTGAGTGCAGATCCATGAGAGATCCCTGAGCACCACCAGACTGCAGAGCCAGGAGTCATCCTAAGCAACACAGGGTGTGAGTCAAAAATACAAAAATAAAATAATAAACAAAGGTAAAACCCCGGGGGTCAGAGGGGACTAGGCTGTCCCCAGGATAAGCCAAGTTCCTCACAGACTGCACCTCACTGCTTACGGAGAAAGTGACACCTTAGTTTGTGCAACTGGACTTGCTATTAATAACACTGAGCAGCCACCAAGGGCCAGACCTAGGCAGAGCACAGGAGATAGCGGGTGCCAGAGTTCTGTCTGCACGAAGTGATTCTTGAATGCAGAGCCGGGGTATGCCATGAGCACCTTCGGATGTGGCCCCCAAATAAAAATAAACAAAATTTAAAGATAAAAAGGAAGATGATGGGGGCTGGAGCGATAGCACAGCAGTTAGGGCATTTGCCTTGTATGTGGTCCGACCCGGGTTTGATTCCCAGCATCCCATATGGTCCTCCAAGCACGGCCAGGAGTAATTCCTGAGTGCATGAACCAGGAGTAAACCCTGTTGATTGCTGGGTGTGACCCAAAAAGCCAAAAAAAAAAAAAAAAGGAGGATGAGGGTTTAATGAAAACACTAAACACTTCCCCATAGGAAGGACACAAGCACCCGGGCCCCGAGGAAAACTGCTTCCTTCATGGTAGCAAGAGAGACGCAGTCACCCCCTTGCCTTCCTCCTGACTTGGGGTGTAGAACATTTCTAGGGTGCTGGAGCACAGTGCTCCTAAGGCATGCCCTAGCTCTGTCCTAGGCTGGTGGTGGCCAGGAAGGTGAGGTAGTTTTCCAGTGGCTGGAAAGGCCGGTGCCCTTCACAGGCTTCTATTCCCTGGAGGAAAACTGCTTCTCCAAGGAGGCGGCGGCCATTCTGGCTATTAGGGCAAAATGGAAAATAACGTCATCTTGGGAAAGTCTTGACCCCAACAGCCTTTTTTTCCCTCTCTCTAATAATGTATAATGAAAGAGACTTGTTTATAAAGTATGATGTGTATGAAAAATGTCTACCAGAAATAATAATTTATTTCAGGGTTCTTTTTGGAGGGGGAGGGAGTTTGAGTCAAACCTGGCAGGGGCCGGGGTAATTTCTGGCTCTGCATTCAGGGATCACTCCTGGGGTTCAGGGGACCACACGGGATGCCGGGATCAGACCTGTGTCGGCTGTGGGCAAGGCAAGCGCCCGACTTGCTGTATTATCTCTCCAACTCCTACTTTAGTATTTAGGATGTTCCAATTATTGTCTAAATGTTGCACAATGTCTTGTCTGACTATTAACTCCAAGCTCTCTTGGGATCACGAATGGGTTTTATGTGGTATTAAGGACATAATAGGGCCCTGATATTTTACAAATCAAGTATTTGAGTAACATTTCTATAATAAATTAAAAATTAAGGGGATATAAGTGTTCTTTGAACAGTGATCTCAGTCTGTGGGAGATACTATGCATTGAGGGGAAGTAGAACAAGAGTTTTATTTGGAGAAAAGGTCACAGCTGGAGGTTCTGAGGGCACTCCAGGTCCCGTATTTACCTAAGCATGCGCTCAGCCCTTTGAACTAGCTCTCTGCCCAGAAATAAGAGTTGTCGGGAATAACGCAAACACCCTCTAAAACTGGGATGGATGGGGCTGGAGCAATAGCACAGCAGGTAGGGCATTTGCCTTGCACGTGGTTGACCTGGGTTCGATTGCCGGTATCCCATATGGTTCCCCGAGCACCGCCAGAAGTAATTCCTTATCCCAGAGCCAGGAGTAACCCCTGTGCATAGCCGGCGGGTGTGACCCAAAAAGCACTATAGCACTGTCCTCCCGTTGTTCATCGATTTGCTCGAGTGGGCCCAGTAAAGTCATTACTGTGAGACTTGTTACTGTGTTTGGCATATCGAATACGTCACAGGGAGCTTGCCAGGCTTTGCCGAGCGGGCGAGATACTCTCAGTAGCTTGCTGGGCTCCCCGAGAGGGGCGGAGGAATCAAACCCAGGTCAGTCCGGTCGGCAGCTTGTAAGGCAAACGCCCTACCCACTATGCTATCGCTCCAGCCCACCCAAAAAGCAAAATAAATAAATAAAAATAAAATAAAATTGGGGGTGGGGTGGGGTAACTGCAAACATTAAAGCACAATGATTTAATTTGGGAAAAACATACGGACACTATATGTTCCATTACTTTCCCCATGCTCCAAAGGACAAGCTCTCTCCACCACTCCCAACCCCCGTCCTGGAACAGGAGATGGTTGCAATGTCACGGGAAACCCGGCTGATCTCTGCCATCCCTGGTCACCGCCTGACAATCAGAGGATGCCTGGCCGGATAAACACGTCTGCTCCACGCTCTCAGAGCCACTCCCGGAGAGTGAAACGGTTTCCTGGTGGGAACCAGCCCGGCAGCAGAGACTATTGTCACATGGAACTTCCTACAACAGACGCTGGGACCCTGGGCTACCAAAAGTGACATGCACCAG